TTCTGTCTCCTCTGAATGTCTTCATTCATTTTCTTTTTCTGTTTTTTTCTATCTATAATGCTTTGCTTCTTCTTTAGAATTGGAAAACATTTGGACATGGGGAGAGTGAGCACCTTCTTGTGGGGCTGGGGAAAAAAATGCTTAGAATGAATTGTGTTGTTCAAAACTCCTTTCTATTCTGGGTGGTGTGGGTACCTTTTTGAAATACTTTGTAAATAGAGAGAGAGAGAGAGTGAGTGAGAGGGAATGAGCAGGAAAACAACTTTCCTGTACAATTCTTGAAGAATACTGGCTGATGATCTCTAAGAGACAGTCTGCCTCTTAGAGCTATCCCTTAAATCTACCACCAAGGTTGCAAAATAGGAAGACTCAGTAGATGGCAGCAAAGAAATATAAAGATTTCCAACTGTTTGCTGCCATCTAGTGATCACGTGGAGTGTTGTAGCCTAGAGCTGGTACTTTTAATTTAACTTTGTTCTAACCTTATTTGTCTGGCTGTCTCATACACATATCAGCTGCCATTTTCAGTCTGAAGGTATTGAATGTACATACCCAAATATATCCTATATTCTATTTTATAGAGCTGAGGTGGCCCAGTGGTTAGAATGCAGTACTGCAGGCTACTTCAGCTGACTGCTAGCTGCAGTTCGGCAGTTGAATTCTCACCGGCTCAAGGTTGACTCAGTCTTTCATCCTTCTGAGGTGGGTAAAATGAGGACCCAGATTGTTGGGGGCAATATGATGACTCTGTAAACCGCTTAGAGAGGGCTGTAAAAGCACTATGAAGTGGTATATAAGTCTAAATGCTATTGCTATTGCTATCTTTCTTATTAAGCAGGGATCCCCAACCCCCGTGATTGGGCCACACAGTTGGAGGTGAGTGGCACGTGAAAGAGTGAAACTGAAATCATCCCTTCCCCTGTCTGTGGAAAAATGGTCTTCCACAAAACTGGTCCCTAGTGCCAAAAAGGAAGATACCAGCCTGAGGATGACGAATGAGACTTCGTCGAAACGTTGCCAAGACACCTCCAATTTTACGTGGGAGAAAACCCGAATAACCAAAGACCTACATACAAACACCCGCGAAAACCTCAGAAAACATATATATATATCTCATAATCTGCTTTGGAACAGATATTGTTGGACAAACTATTGGCCATGTAATCCAGGCAGATCTTAGCATGAATTCTCACATGTAAATCCAAAGTTAGATTGATATTTAATGTCCTTCCATTTTCCCTGGAGTAAAATAGAGATTTTTAAAATTATATGCTGTTGTTTGTAATTTAATAGAATGTGGGTTTAATTATAAAATGTGATGCTGGTTGGCTTTATAGCCCACCAGATGGTTTATGTCAGTTGTTTAAAGCATAAGCTTCCCACCCACTGCTTTAAATGTTCTCATAGGTCTCTTAACCTGGTCTAGTGTAATTTAAGACTTTTTTTTTTTAAATCCCCTAGATGTTCAGCAGTGTATGAAATATTTAAGACCAATTCTTGCTGTTGAGACAACAGGTGGCAGAGCTGGGAATATGTAACCTGTGGTTTTTAAACATGGTTGTACTACAATTCCCAGCATCTTTCCAATTGACTATAATAAATGGCATTGCTGCATAATGGTATATCAACAACTGCCTGGAGAGTCACACGTTTCTAATCCAAATCTTGCCCTACATTAGGAAGATTTTCCAGGATTGTAACACCCAGTTCCTTTAATAAATTTAAGATTTATTTCATAGTGATGAAGAAAATAGACAGTATTAAAGGCTAGTCATGACAGATGAATTTTACAACAAAAGATTGGTTTTATATTACAGGCTGAAATGTTAGATTTAAACTGGTGGCAGTATCTAAGTGCTTTGGCTGATCTCAGAAAAAGCTAGACACAGTCAGATTTGATTAATGCCATGATGGGAGACTTCAAGGAACTCACAGTGCCATGGACTAGACTGGGAAGTCAAAGCATTCCAAGAGAAGACAGGGACACATCACTTCCATACTATTGCCACAATCATTACATGACCATGTCCATATAGTCATGAGGAATCATGCTTGACTTAAAAGGAAATTTTTTAAAGGAAGAACTTCCCTGCTGTTGGCATTACATAGTAGGTCAGGCCAAGAAATAGACACCATTGCCTTCCTAAAATGATTGCCTATAGTAACAGAATCTTACAAAGTCCCCTCCCTTTTTATAGATCACATGAATTAGGGGGAATTCCTGCTTGTTTTCATAACCCTCCCCTATTATCTGGGCTTCTGCCATGTTTGTTTACTCAATGCCTCTCTTCTTTCTGTCTCTATCAAGGTAATTTTCTTTATTCTCTATAGTAATCATCTCAAGAAAAACTCAGCAGAGTCATGCCGGATTAGTATTGGATTGATTAGAAATATAGGCTAGTCTGGGAAAGAGCCTGATAGTACAGTGGACTAAAGCACTGTTATTAACATCTGCTGCTTGCAATTACTGCAAGTTCAAATCTCACCAGGCTCAAGGTTGACTCAGCCTTCCATCCTTTCAAAGGTAGGTAAAATGAGGACCCAGATTGTGGGGGCAATAAGCTGACTTTGTATAAATATACAAAAGTATGAAGGCTATTGCTTAACGCATTGTAAGCCAGCCTGAGTGTCCAGAGAAGGGCGGCATATATATTAAAGAAAAAAAAGTGCAAACATCCTAATCTACAGGAATCCACCTCAGCGTTGTTGCAAGAAAAGCCCATCTGCCTGTGAAGTCACCAGGAGTTGAGTCCAATTCAAGAGAGTTTTAACTTTTTTGGTTTCCTTTTAAATATTATCATGGAAATAAGATCCCCAAAACTTGTGGAACCTCCTGTCAAAGTCAAACGTAGAAGCTATTATGTTATTTTTGTATAAGCATTATGGATTATTCTAATAATTGTTTCTTATTTTTCTGTGATGATAACATATTAATCTCCCATTTCTTTGACATTATTTCTTCTTTTCCACTAGATTCAATATTTGTCATTCTTTCTTTGATCTTCATTAGCATGAGAGTAAATTCAGCTGAGATGCGTGATTGGCTGTAATTTAATATTATGCTTAATCTTTCTTAATGTGATTATCCTTTTTTCTAAAAAAAAAAAAAGATAAGTAGATTCCTTTCGGTTTATCCTTAAGTCATGGTAGTTAGCAGACACACACACTTACAGAATTTTCACGTGGAGAGAAAAAAAAGAAAAGCAATACGGAATATGCACCAATTATTTATTTGTATTTTGTGATGGGACATTAGATTTAGAAATCCCGATTTTATGTGGACGTTATTTCTTTTCTACCCTAATTTATTTTTCCATATGATTAAATTTCAAATGGTAAATAATTCTGAGCTTCTGTTCAAGATCACATTGCTCTGTGTCACATGATAGGACTCTGGGAATCATACCAAAATCCAATTTTGATTTAATCGTCAATCAAACTTATTTCAAAATGATCCAGTTTAGATTTCAAATCAGGCAAAAAAGTGATAGGCCAGAATTTGATTTTTTTTTCCTTATGAGAGAATCCATTCAGTTTCCTTTACATTAGAGTCAGTCACCTTACATACCTACAGTTCTGTAAAAAAAATATTCATTCTTTTTGAATTTTCTGGATTTCTGCATACCTGTGCCCAAACTATCAAAACATCATGTAATTCTTACTGATGAATAAGGGAAATCCCACCAGAGTTTGATGCTTGTTTCGTTTATTTCATAAAGTTATCCAACATGTAATACGCCAATGTGAAAAAAGTTAATGGTTTTTCATAGAAGATTCTTTTTGTGGTTATTCTATTTTGACTCTAATTTATTTTACTTCTTTCTGCTCCATATCCATTCCCTTTCCCAAAAATTTACTATTAAAAAAGTATGAGACACATTCAAAAACTTTCATCATCCTTCTTTTCTACACTGATTGTGTTTTTATTGATATGGAACCAAATCAATCATACTTTTTAGATTTATATTCATTCCTTTAACATATGTACTTACGAATAGACATATTTGAGCTACATATTTGAAACAGATCTTTGTGTAAGCACATACCATCACCAGTCTCATTTATTCCTGGGTTTCCAAATGGCCCAGTTCTTACATCTATATTCACTCATCTCATTCTTTCCCACCTATTTTTGCCATGGGTCACATTCATTCAAAATGTGCATTTTTTCCAAAAACAATTTCTATTTTCCACCCATTATCATTCTGGCAGTAACCTCTGGAATTCTGCTTTCATACTCACCCACAATTTAGATGATACTGATTCATACTTTCTGACATATATTTTTGCCCTTTCATTCACTATTAAATCCACATCTTCAGTTCTCTACAGACATTCATCCAATCAAAGCATCATTCTACAGATTTATTATACCTTTCTTTCGCATACCCCAACATATTTATTTTTCTTTTATGCCTCTCTTCCATTCCACATAACAATCTTTCTTCCATATGTCATATTCATCATGATCTGATATTCACAGAGACAGTTATCTGCTGCTCCTCATGGCTTTGGTCAGTTAAAGTTTTCACCTAACACTTCTTATAATACAGAGAAGATACACAGCAGGTTACCAGTTTTAGTTGTGCCACATGCAGCAGTCCTTATTAATGATAAGGACTATCAATCAGTTTGGGCACATTTGCTCCACTTTGCCACAAGGGCAGCCAAAATCTTTTCAAGCACGCTTACGCAATGCTACACAAGCCAGACTCTCTCCTATCCCCTTACCAAACACCATACTATTATTCATAAAGGTATACGCATGGGTAAAATCTTCATGAAAGCTGCATTGCATGACATTGCATACACAGAAGAGAGTGAACAAATGTACTATTTGGCCTTTTAGTTGTGTGGGAAAACATTAGATTAAAAAAGCAAGCTCCTCAGACCCAACACACCACCCTCGATTTTGCAGCAATAGGGTGATTGTTTTTTTCCCCTAGCCATCATGGAAAGATTATATCTTATAAATATAAATAATAATAAAAATAAATAGATTCTTTTATATTTCCTTTATTTATATTTTTTTAGTTTAAGAATTACACACTAGCCAACATTATTATATATTTACATGCTGAAACTGGCTGTAATAAGTTTAGTTTCAAGAAAATATCTCTTATGTGCTATTCAATTTACAATAATCATTTTACTACCTCTATTATTCCAGAGGTTAGCAGTCCTTCTGAGAAAACATGAAAATCTGATGCAATGTTATCCACTAATATTTTGCATTTTCTAGCCATTGGAAAATGTGCATTATGTGCATATTAGAAAGGCTACAAGGTCATTAGTAAGTCTCATGATTACTACATTATGGAGTAAATAGTATTAGGTTAAAAAAAGAGGAAGAGGAAGGATGCAAAGACAGTACTAACAGAATCATTTAAACACCCATGCAAATTAAAATTGTGAAATCTCAAAACATGGTCAAATATGATAGAGTTCTTAGATGTCTTAAATGCTTGCATGAACTAAAACTATATGATGGATCTTAAATGTATTCCCTGGTGAATCTTTCAGTGGCACTAACAATGTAAACAGATAATGCTGCTAAATTTGAATTAGAGAACTTTGGTGATGAACAAAACATTTAGAAGAAATTGAATTTAACTGTAGGTATTTGGAGTTAAGACTTAAAATAATAACATTAATATAGATTCATTATCAAAATACTTAAATTATTTGACACATAAAATGTGTTGCATATAACCTGCAAAGTTAATCTACTCCACTTTATCATGAATTAATTAACTTGGATTATAAATACCATTGGTATAAGCTACAACATGGTAATTACTTATTAACATTTTATTCACTCCTCAAAAATTCTCTTGAACGTTTCCTAGTGCATCTTTGTTAAATTTTACCTTTGGTGTTAAGCAATATCTTGATAGAGTTCCCTTTAAATATATTTCTTAAGTAAGAAGTAAGTAAGATTAAGTAAGATTCTTTGGCATTGGGTGGATTGGGTTGGGCTGGAAAGGAACAGAATGCTAAACAATGACAGACAAATCTCTTTGTACCAGACAGTCTCTAAAAGACAGTGGGACTCCTCATGCGCAATAGGAATGTGCATGATGTCTTTCGGAGAATAATATTACACTCATGAGAAAACTGTAGTTCTATATTACATCCATTTCATTTCCTGGAAGAGGAAATCATCAGTATTATTACTGTGTCTGGATAAAAGACTGCCATTGTGGCCCAAACGATAGGATTTTCTTTGTTTCTCAACCTGAGCAACTTTTTAAGATGTGCAGATTTCAGCTTCCAGAATTTTGCAGCCAGCATGGGTGCTGAGGAATTCTGAAAGTTAAAGCGCACATATCTTAAAAATTGCTAAGTCTAAAAAGTAATAAGATATTCTATTAAGGACTCATGGTACACTAGACAGACTACTCTCTAACTACAAGTATGGTCTCTATAAGTCACTTGATAGCCCCAACTTTCTGCAGTTCCTTTAGGTGAGACTCCCTAGTTAATGGCAATTCTGAAGTTCTTTCAGAATTGCAGGCTTAGTATTAATGGAAATCAAAATAGGCTCATTAAAAACCAAGGCTGCAATTCTCAAACTGCATGTAGCTCCAATTTTCCCAAGAAGCTCGGCAGAATTAGCAGTTGCCTTATTCATTTAAATATCAGACACCTGCCCCCCCCAACAAAAACTCTAACTTGCAGCGCTTCAGAGATGCTATTATAAGCATCATAACAGCACATCTATTCTGAAGTATCCACATACCCCTGAATTTTCATGTGCACCAGAGTCAATGGATAATGGTACTCGTTTTTATCGGTTCTTTCTCCTCCCCATTTACAGATGAACTGGTTACATTGATACTCATTTAATGTCAATCTTATTATTTGCAATTTTGAAATTGTCCTCTGAAATCCAAGTCTTATGCAAAAGGGTGTTTAAATTGTTCTGCTAGAAAACTGCAATTACTGTACTTAGTTTAAAAAAAAAATCACTGAACAAATACTCTTTCTATTGACATCTCATTTACAGCTTATTTAAATATTTACATGATTTTAGGACACTAACCTAAACCATAAATAGAATCAACTTTTTGCCTTACATTAAAGTACAAATTAGAAGTTAAAAATGTTAAGAAATCTGATAATATTTACATTTTTTTTTAATTACGATTGCTCACATTGTATGACCTATGTACAGATAGCAAAATGTTATGATCACTATTTTTAAACTATTGTACCTGGACCATCTTGTTCTTTTCTCCCCAGAGAAATATGTCATAGTTTTGCTTTTCCTATCTAGGTATTAGGACTTTTAAAAAAGTTAGTAGAGATGCTTTCGTTGAAAAAAATAAACAAAACAATGTGAGAGTTAGCCTCTGTTGAGATGGTAGAAGATACAGTACTATCGCAATATCCACTGTGAAATGCTTCATAAGATTTCTATGCATTGATCTGCTGATATAGAAATGCCCAGTTACCCTGTATAGTAAGATTTTAAATACATTAATAATTTATGTTCTCAAAAAATATTCACATATTGGTTGACTATAGAAACACAACTGTTATTAGCTTATTCCTTTAGAAATACTAATGCAAGATTCTAGCTCAAACCCAGGCAATTATGAACAGTGCAGAGGCTGTAGGTATGCAATGCTAATTAAAAAGGAAGTTGACCTGGACTTGATGACAATGTCTCTAGCTCAGTCCTGATCTTTCTCTCAGGAGGATAAAATAGAGACCATTTCTCTTAACAACTCAATCCATATGTCTTTCCCTTTCTTGCATCTGCTGGTGGAATCTCAAATTACCTCTCATCATTCAAGAATGATGGCCATCCTATCAAGAACGGGCAGGGGGATCTGGATGGAATCTGGGATTGTTGCTTCCTTCAATCATATACTGCTTCTTTTAACAACCCTTTATAGCACCAAAAAGATGTAACAGAAGATGTAAATATGGTCCTGCAATTTTATTGTGGCTGCAAACGCTTGCAGGAATTTGGAATTTTCAACTGCCCCATCGACATAAAAGAGACACCAGTGTCAGAAGTTGTAAATATGGGGACAGCTTCTCCCCCACTTTACTCAGCAACCTTCCCACTTGCTTTATATATCAATGGGCACATATCCATTTCTATGCACAAAGTGGTTTCACGAGATTAGGAGACTGTGTAAAAATGCATATGTATGTATGTGCATGTCTATATATGTGTAGGTACACACACATAAGATATAAACACATATATGTGTACACATTCAAGAATATATATAAACATGTGGAAATATGTCTTTATTTGTAGATAATGGTCTGAGCTTGGCTTACTTAAATTAATTTCAATAAGTGGGAAATTGAAATCTAAGTTTTTTTTTTTTAAAAGAAAAGAAAATGTATATTTTACCTAGCAGGCTCATTTTCCTAGATATATTTAGCTGGCTAGCAATATGTACTTGCTCTCATGTTATCTATGCATTGTGCTTTTGTCTGGATGATTTTATATATTAGAATGTAAAAATTCTCAGGTGTGTCTTTCAATGCTATTATTCAAACTTTGCTGAAAGTGTTCAGAATGACATTGATTCTCTCTTCCCAGTCATTTAAACTACCATGTCTATAGAAACATAGCTTTCCTTAGACAAACATAAATATGGCACATGAGTTTTAGTTGGAAAATGCATATTAAACTTAGTAGCAGTCATATACAGAACATATTTACAGAGCAATAATCTGAAAGTTATGGTTAAAACTGTGCCATATTATATAGTTGTAATTTTGTGATGAATTTAATATATGAAGAAAAAACACCTTAATTGCTGGCTAGTATGCATCCAAAACCTGAAAAAAAGTAATAATTAAAGGAATAAATTATTAGGCAAAACATGGTTCTAAACAAAACCAAACCAAAGTATATTTCAGTTAAATTCAACGGTAATAGCTTATTTCAATGTCCTTTGTGACATTGTGTAATGTTTTTGTCTCTACCACATGCTGGTATTAGAGGAGATAAACCTTTTTTGTGTTATCCTCCATTTGCCCACCTTACTTTAAACCTCATTTTAATTTAAGTTCCTCGTATCTCTTTGAATTAATTTATTCAAAAATGTGATTTCTCATTTACTCCTGGAAGCATCTTCCACTTAATAACATAAATGACCTCATGGAGGTGAATATGTACTTTCTTTGTTAGCCCCCAGGGTAAAATTCACCCTCTCCTTGAAAAGGTTAGAAAATATTATGGCTTGTACTATAAACTTCCAGCTATGGTAAAGTGCAGTTTTAGAAGCTGATTCTGTAGTTTTTCTAAGGCTGGCTTGTTGAACCAATCTGAGAAGAGAAAAAGGATAGAAAGGATATTCTTTTCTAATCTCTAAAAATCCCAAGGTTGATAGTTTTCATATATTTTTTTTTTATAAAATTAATGGGCAATTTCAGCAAAAGAAAAAATAACATACACACGAATGTAGCAAAATCTTATTTGTCCCAAAAGATGCTTCAGAAGGGGGTCTTCTAAAACACTGCCCATCTGGTGAAAGAAAACATGACAAAAGAAAGTGTGCTCAGTGCTGTTGTGCCTGAGTCACAAGACCAGCCTTTTCACAAAGTGTGAAGTTCATAATTCAACCAAGTATGCTTGCAGAGAGCCTAGAAAGCTCAATTTTAAAGTATATTACAGAGAAATAAAAGAGTCCTTTGTGCTACTGAAACCATCAGCTGGAGGAAATATATACATACATACATACAAAAAAAAAATATAATAAAAAGAATATGGAACATTTCTGGTTCCAAAAGATACTCATCCCCAATCCATTTATTTCCTGAAACAGGTTGATCTTCTGTTCCAGGAAGACACAGCTATCTTATATGAATCCCACGTAAGTTCCATTGAATCAATTAAAGGATAAAGCTGAATAAATGACAGCTATATAATTGTAAATTAATTATATGAGGGAAAAAAAGCTGGAGAGGTATTTCTTGAACTGATGATGAAAATAATTCAGTCTCCTTTCAGCTGGAAAATACATGAATAGCTCTCTCCCGTTCATTGTCCTCTCTTAAAAAAAGTTCTAAAACTGAATGCAAAAGTATTGAGTGAAGAAGATAATCCAGTTCCTTACAATAAGCTTACTCTTTTGAAGCTTATGTGTGCATATCTAAATAAATATCTGAACAATAAAAAGTTATGATCTACTCAATCTCTTTTAAACATGAAGGAAATGCAACCCAAACTATAATTTAGGAAATATTTTGATGATCAAGATTTGCAATTTGCATGGTACTTGTGGTTTACTTGATCCTTGTGTTTGACAACATTTGGCACAGCTTTCTCTGTTGCAGAAGAAAGTACAAAGCACTGAGGGAAAACTACCTATGAAGAAACTGCCGGCCCACTCTCATTTGGCACTTATACATAGAAGGCTCCTAGATATGTTTAATAGTATCCTGTTGGACATATTGGCCATCTCCAAAATAATGTAGTAGCTCTATGGTTCACATCATGGTAATCAATATGCTGACTTTACAATATCTCAATTAAACACTTCCCAATTATGTGTAAGTTGCTTTCATATTTTCCAAAAAGAACTCTTAATTCAATCAACAACTTGATACATGTCTTCATAGTATGATGGCAGGCATTATGACTTACTGTAGCTTCAAATTAACATCAAAAAAGGTAAGATATGAATATGATGTTGATTTTGATATAATATGACCATATTCTTTCCATTCAAATAATGCTGTTTAACCCAGATGAGCATAGAAGCAGAAATTGCTCTGAGAATTCAAACCTAACTTTTTAGCTTCCCTTTTCAATATCATCCAAAAATGAAATGACCGGATCAAGTGTCGCGGGGAGACAGTCGGGGAATTTGCGGGCTCTGATGAGCTCCGCAAAAACCCGGACTGATGAACCGTTGCCAAGGGGGTCTTCGGACCGGGGAACCATCCTGTAGGGATGGGGGTGAAGGAGAGGCACCTCAGAAGACCAAGAGGAACAGGCAAATTCCTCGATGGTCACAGGTAGTTCTCTACGACTTGGTGGCGGGGGCGGCAGCCATTGCGGCTGTCACGAAGCTGGGGCAACCGGACTAAGTATGGAGCAGGAGCGGTGATTTGATCGGAGCTTTTGGAACTGGGTAAGTGTTAACCAACTCATAATAAGGGAAAAATTCTTTTTTTAAACCTGGAACCCCCAGAGAGAAAACGGCGGCTAATAAGCATGGGGGGAAGAAAAGAAGACATTGGAATGTATTTTTAAAGAGATAAAAAAAAAAGAACTCGAATAGAAAATTTACTTTCAAACAAAATGATTTGGAAAATAATTTGGAAATTTTTTAAATGAAAGAAATTACCCCAAGATTGAGTAAAAGATCAGAAAGGAATAATTAGACCCTTTTTCTCTCCTCTTTCTTGTGAACTTTGAGGAAAATAAAAAGAGAATGAATAATGGATAATAAGCCTTGTAACAGAAGTACTTTATAACCAAAGGCAAGAAGAGAAAAAGAAAGGAAAAGAGTGGTTTAAATTTGGACTGAACTACAAAATTGACTTGGTATTCTCAAAGCCAAAAAGAAAAAGAGAAACTAGTTAAGATTGTTAACATACTGAAACAAAATGGATACTTGCTAAATAACAGGAAATTGTGGATTGCAAGAGAAACACCATCAGGAGCAAAAAGGAACATTATAACTTGGTCTGTGTTTTGGAAAATTGTGAACTTTACAGATAATAGCCATGAGAACTTTTGGGGAGGATCCCTTTGTTTAGAAGCGGCTTGACTTTGGGGGAAAAAAAAAGAATACTACTGAAATTTTAAAATTGGAACAATATCAACTTAAAAGGGATAAAATGGCACAGGAAATTAAAGAAATGATTAAAGCGATGTACCTGTCATGGAAAATGGAAATAAGAGAAATAACTACAATGATACACAGGGAATCAAAATCTGAGGACATAAAAAATGGGAAAGAACATGGACAAGCTGACGAGGAAACAAAGATGGAGAAGCAACATACAGAGTCTGAAGAAAAAGAAGATAAAGAAAATGAGACCAAATGTGAAAATGTATTTGAATATGTGGATAATAATAATAAAAAAGAGGTTTTTAAAGATTACATTGGGATTAACAATGAAAGTAATAGGGAGGATAGAAAGAGACAAACATGGAAGGAAGAGGGGAATAGAAAGGACATAAAGAATTTAAATGATTACACTGGGATTTACAGTGAAAAAAACACAAAAGAGAGAAAGAGGAAATATAGGGCACAAGAGAAGAATCCAGAACTTTTATATACAGAATGACAATATTGGGTTAAACAACGGGTTAAAAAAAAGAGAAAAGGGAGAGGAACAAGGGGCAACATAGGGCAAAATAGGAGAGATCAGGATTTTAAAGTGCAGGAAAGAAGGGGAAAGAAAAAGGTAAAAATAAAATTGAAAAGGGAGAAAAGGAAAAGGAAATGAAAGAGGAATTAGAGGTATACATTTAGAATTAAAATGTGAATTGTAGCAAGTAATAATGGTAAAGTATATTATGGTGAAAACGAAATGTACAAATAATTGGAATATTGTTACTTATAGTTTTGAAATCTAGATAATGATGAGTTTTGGTTTTTTTTCATTTTTTGAGAAATATGAATAAGCTTAAAATGTAATAATGGTAATACTGTTAATGGTTTAGCGTGGTGTGTATTAAAATGATTAAGTGAGGATTTGAAACAATACAAAGAAGAAATAGTCTTTAATGATATATTGTGATGAAAGTAGAAATGATTAAGATGTGGTTTGGAGGAATATATGGGGAAATTATGTGATGTATGAAAATGGAACTAATTGGAACAGCTGTTTATATTTGTTTTTTTTCTTTTTCATTAAATGTTTGAATATATAAATAGAAAAGATACTTATAGAAGCAACTGATTATATTAAAATATTGGACTGTGTTACTTAAGAAAATGTAAGTTATAAAATAAGTGGGCTCACTATTCTTGTAAAAATTGAACAATTGTAACACCATAAAATTAATTACTTTGATGATGGATTGGGATTTAATATAGAATAGAAAGGAAATAGGAATTTGGTTAAAATTAGAGATGAAAATGAAGGGTAAAATTGGTCAAAAATAGATGAAAATGAACACTATGGCAAAAAGGAAATATAGAAATGGTAATCTTAGTTGTAAAAATTAAAAATTGTTTAAATTTGTTAACCAAAAACTTTTTAAATTTTAAATTTTTTAAAGAAAAACTTTTTTTTACAAAAAAACAAAAACAAAAAACAAAAAGAAAACAAAAATGAAATGACCAAGTTTCAGGTCTGTCTCCAAACATCAAATGCAATTATATATCTTTAAAAGCCAGGTTGTATACATTTGTACTGTAACTTGATAGGCTTCACAGTTGTGCAAAAGAAATCCAAACATTACTGAACAGGTTATAGAGTGGGCCAGCAAATAAGGTGTTTTAAAATAACTTGTCCTGAATAGATTTTGTTCTCCCTAAGTCCCACATTTGGCTGTACAATCAATTTTGAAGAGAAATCCAGTTCTTGATATTTGTGTGGCTTTCTTTGTTTTTAGTTCACATAGTAAAGCCAATAGACAATATTGAAGAAAGAAAAAACCACCGGGAAGAATATGCGTGACCATCGATCTATGGCATTTACATCAGTCAAGTCAGGGATAGTAATTTTCAACTGAGAAGCACGTCTCCTTAACCGGCTTTTCTTTTGGGCCACGTGCCGTTCCAGAGCATTACGGCCAAAGCTGTGTCTTGGTAAACCAGCCTTCCGATACTGGATACTTGAGGTATCATAGGCCAGCATCGTGCTTCTAGGGTCCCCAAGCCCTATAACAGCTTCAGAGGCAGCCATCTCGTTTTTAATTTCAAGCGTGCTCAACAAAATGTTCTCATGGGGGTCCATCTGGAAAACAGAAGAAATTGTCTTAATGTGTGAAATCAGCTACCAAACTCCAGCAATTATTAAAAGACTGGATCTAAGCCATTAAACACTCAGTGCTGATCAAAAGAGAAGCATACACAGCAGGGCTATGCGGTGCTTCAGATTTGAAGTCCACTAATGCTTTGGTGCATTAAACATATTCGTTTCTATCTCCTTAAAATAGCTATATCCTTTCTTGAGACAGCAGAATTGCCATGCAATTCCAGGGAAATATGTGCTCCGTTTAAGCAGTTTTAGACAAGACAAAATGTGTGTCTCATAATTTCCAAAGTTCCCTTTTGTTTTCAAATCTGAAACACTGCATAGTCAGAATACGGACACAGGCTGGTAAATTATCTTTTTATAGCTCAGACAAATAGATTATATGACACATTTCAGTAGCTTTATCTGGTCACTGAATATCAGAAGTTTGTAGTTTTGCCATTGTGAGCTAATATTTGTTGGCCTAATCATTTAGTTCTGAACATCTTAACAGTATTTTTAATGAGCTCAAGAATAATGTAGCATGAGATAGTGCAGGTATTCACCTACTTTCCTCAAGACATTTGTTATATTTGTTCTGTTGTTTGTATGCAGGGCTAACTCCATTGAAAATAATTTTAAACATGCAATTGGGTGGGTGGGGGCTTACAATGCTCACTTTGGTATAAAGATAATTAATTTTTCATTGTCAGAGAAACTCTTTTAAGTTTACACTGGTACTATCAAGGTATATTACTGAGGATATCACTGAGAAGAAAATTAAAAAAAAAATCAATCCTGGATCATCTTATTAATGCAATGACTAGGCACACCATTTAGTTGTAATTCAAAAGCCAAACTAACCAGGCATTCATTTTATAGTAAAATCATATTGAAAATTAATATTATTTTTCAAGTATTTTTAACTAAGAGAAAAACTAATTTGATGTAATGGTTAAGGTATCAGGCTAGGAATTAGGAGATCATGAGTTCTGATCCTGCCTTAGGCACAAAGGCCAGCTGGGTGACCAGTCACTTTCCCTCAACCCTAGAAAGGGGGAAATGGCAAACCACTTCTAAAAAACCTTGCCAAGAAAACTGTAGAGACTTGTCCAGTCAGTCTCTGAGAATCAGATATGAATAACAGGGGGAAAAAAAGTGAGGCCAAGATTATCAATATTTCTAATCTCATGTTTTTGCAAATGCTACTCTCAGCTATTCAGAAGTAAATATGGGTTACTCTTTCATTGTCTGTGAATTATTGATTAAAAATAGCAGCAATCTTTATCCATGCTAGGAAAAAGTGTATTCCTTCGTATGTAATCATTTGATTTCGAGTTATCTGAGCTTTAAATGTATTTTTGGAGTTAAGTTTATATTATCTAATATTGATATACTGCATATCAGTTTAGAAAACTATGTTGTATTTGAAAACAAAAGAACTTTAGAAAGATTTTATAATATTTGCAAGTCATTTTAAGAGATATCAAACTGACTCACATGGCATGCAACATTTTGGTGAGAATGGAGCAGTTCAATCCAATTTTCTCAAAACTATGGCATGCATTGCCTCTTAATTGGCTTGTTTTTTTAATACCTCAATATTAAGAAAGAAAATGAAAATAGTCAAAATTTTTGAAGGACTGCCTTTCTCCAATGGTCTTTACCAGTCAAATCAAGTCTGGCAGAAGGGATATGCTCCAAGTCCTGTCTTTCAGCTAACGTCATCTTGTGGGACCCGATGCATACCCTCTGGGTTAGCCCATGACAACTCTCACTGCTGACCTTTCAGGAAGTCTTTAAGGTTGTTTTCCCAGGCATGGGGGTCTGGAGATTTGGCAAACATGTGATGTGCTGATTGATTGGTTTCCTTGTTTGTCATTTTAAGTTTCTAATACTGATTCGTTATCTTGTTATTATTTAGTATTATTTTAACTTATAAAAACGTACAAGCCCAGAGTTATATTTGTGAGATGGGCAGTCATATAAATCAGTTAAAACAAATAATTTAATAATTGTGGACAAAATACTGCTACTCCAGTAATTGGCTCTAGGAACCCTGGTGATCCAACCATGCTGAGTGGCTCCACATATCTAAACAGTCACACACATCTCAATTAGATATGCATCACAATGACAATGCTATGTATCACCAGTGCTTTGTTTTTAAAAGGGAGTATGTTGGGAAGACACATGGATGAAGGGACGTATGCTTGAAAAAATATTCTGATCCATATTCCTGGCAACCTGAAAACTTGAGATCTGCAAGCAATTGGTTTGGTAATAGATGAGTATGTCAACCTGCCTACTGCCGTAGGAGACAGTGGCATAATTGCTTTATATCAGGGTCCACAAAACACATAAACGTTGCATCAGTCTCTCAGAAATATTCAAACAAACAGTACTATGTATTGTGAATTTTACAGACAATGTTTCATGCATTTGCAGAAATGTGTACATTATTATTATTGGGTTAAATATGATATTGTCAATTATTAAATTGAATTTGATAATTCTAGTCAGAATGTCTGGGACTGTTCTTTTATCATTTCATATGAAACAAACATATTGAGAACCAAGCATATCATGTCTGCATTCCCTTAAGAAATGTATATGCATAAGCATAGCCAAGTCATTTTTCAAGACATTACCACTTCATCCTTGAAACCAAAAGTCAGCTAGCCACTCCCCAAACAGGTAAATGGGTAGGGATGATAATATTTACACAGTACAGACAAATGTGCCCAGTATTTCCATGTGAATTTCATGGAACTAAACACTGAAGAATTCACCATTTGCCAAATGGTAAATTATTTAAAGTTTAAGTCACTATATTAAAACAGTTTAAAAAGAAAAAAGTTAACTCTGGGGTACAGTGTGAAACAAATAACATTTTCATTGATATCAGAAATCATAAAAGAGGAGCATTGGTTAATTCGGGGAAGAGTGGTTAGGTTGTATGGAGTGAATCATACAAGCAGGGTGGGCAAGCTTTCTGAAAGTTTATTTTTTATTTTTTAATTTCCAGTCAATGTCCAAATCTTTAACCAATCTTCAGCCTTCTTTAAATCTCATAGTAAAACATATATATATATATTTCATATGGCCAGCTCTGAAGTTTTGTATGGCTGCTACAGAGATGCAATTTCAGCTAAAACAGTATGAAGCCGGCATATGGTTAAATAATTTAGAAGAAAAATATTTTTTTCCGAATATGTCATTTTGTATGATTCATATTTTATTCTTGTAATCAATTTTCTGCAATCAAACATTTCTCAGTTGATACTAGTATTTGAGAAGGCTGGAGGCATCTACGTCTCTTCTAAAAACACACTGGAAATCATTTACTAGCAGAACATTAGTAATGGATGAACTTCCACAGGAAGATAGAGGTTTTGTATTTTTTTTATAAACATTAAGCAGATATCAGTTTCCCAAAATAGGAAGTAAATTCGATTGATGAAAAGCAAATTGAACCAATTTTTGAAGTTGATCTGTGTTTTTGATTAGGAAAGTAATGGTGAGTTTCAGAACAACAGAACAGGTTCACCCATTTCTAATGGAAATGTATGCTTGTAACAAAAGAAAAGCTTACAATACAACAGTGAAAAACATTTATTCTGCAGGCGCTTTTCATCCAGAAGGATCCCAAAGCGTTTTACAGACTTTAGAAAGCAACATCACTTCACCAAGTGCAGTCATCTGAGGCAAAAATGTGGGAGCTATCTAACATTGCAAACAGTACAGTGTAGTTCAATATAGGAATGAAGAATGCATTATCAGTTAGAACTAGGTGGTGATTGGGTAAATGATGTGGAGATGATTCAAAAGAATGAACACCCTTTGCAATTCAACCAAAGTTGGACAAGATCTTGGCATGAAGATGCCAGGTCACAAATAATGTGCCATTGGGTCTGCAATAAGTTCAAGCCCTCAGTTTTACATCCCTAAGGATAAAACCATTAAGAAAACAATAAAATATACCTTTGTTGAATACATTTCTGGACAATGATATGTGCCAATTATTCTTCTGTCCTGTAAGTTAATAAAATCAAAACCAGTTTCCTTAGAAAAAATCAGCTGTTAGTTTTCATTAAAAAATAATGCACTATAGGCTATTATTGTAAACTACGCACACTAATTAAAAGCACAGGGCAGTGTGAGCCAACAAGCAGCAGAAGTACTGTAGGTCCTTGTTTTAGAAATGCTGTTGTTGTCTTAGCCCTGACACTGTGGACAACATGTATTTGTAATGGAAGTAAATATAAGTGAGTGTATATATGCGTGTATACACATGCACACATATATATCCAAACTTGTAGGCATTGAAACTAGCCCAACCCTCTCCCCTCAACATATGAATTGAAATGACGTGAAAATAACATTAAGAAGACTCTTAAGAATTATACAGCAATAAGATACAGACTTTAGATGTAGCATAGGATAATTCCATAGGAAGAAAGCTGAAAAGATAAAAATGGATGAATGGGAAAAACAAAAATATGAAAATATAAAATGAATTCTATATTAATACTCAAATTAGTAGTCATGGAAGCATCTTATAATCACCTAAATAAATAGCACAAGTGGAATTTACAGATAGACCAAAAATCAATTATACAGTACCCTGAGATACTGCTGATTTTTTTTTCTTTCTATACTTACTTGGAAAGGCAATTCCAATCAGTTCCTAGAAACTCCAAAATGATGGCTATCTAAAGGAGTTGCATGTAACATTTTAATATATCAATAGACTATTATTTTCTGCCTGGCTGAAATTTCTGCACTGTTCACTTTCTTCTTTAATACCAAATATGCATTGCATAACTAGCATGCTAAGACATGTGAGTTGTAGCATTTTGTTGCTTACAAAACATAGCCTGAAAAATCAAACCATTCACAAAATTTCATCCTGATGAAGGGAACAATAACACATGTGGGAGATATATGCAATTATTTAAATTGTCTCTCCCCTAATTCAAAGTAATAGAGGCCTTAACTCCAAGTTGTTATAGAGTATAATTGAAGGTAGTAGGTAGTTGTAAAGTACTATGTAGCTCAAGGTGTGGGTATCTAAAACATTATCTATTATAGGGAATATAAGCCAAAGGTCTCTAGTCACTGAAAAATATAGCCAAAAGGACCCCTACATTCTCTGTAGGAGTTCTCCTGTGTAATGTCTTGCCCTCTGAGACCTTCTGGCCTCGCAGAAGCTGGCAAAGATCTTTCTGCTCTAGAAGACCCAGGTACCTGAATTATTATAATTAAATGGAGTTTTAGAATAATATTATATAATACCATTTTAATTATTATATTTATATGTATGCTATCATTTGCATTATTTCTTGCCTTTTACACAGCAGAATGAAGCAGCTTTCTAAATAAAATAAATACACAAATAAATTCTCCTTTCCTATCTTTAAAAAAAAATCTTCCTGAATGCTATTTTTAAAAAAATATTCTAAACTTATTTACTAAATACTATTTTGTTTGTCTTGCCTTTCTGAACAGTTCTAGAACTGAATGGCAACTAGAGACAATTAGAACCAAAATAATTTTTGTATTTCTTTTTTTTTTTTACATCAGCTCAGCTCCCATAAGATAATTTATTGCAATATCCTTTTATGCATTACTTTACAGATTTCTGGCCTATCTTTTACATAATTAAAATACATTTTGAAATAAAACTTAAAAATTTAAAGTCCAATTGCATCCTGATTAATTATTCTGTCAGGAAATTTCTCCTTAGTTTTAGATTGCTTCTCTCCTTGATTAGTTTCCATCCATTGCTTCTTGTTCTACCTTCAGGTGCTTTGGAGAATAGTTTGACTCCCTCTTCTTTATTGCCACCCCTGAGATATTGGAACACTGCTATCATGTCACCCCTAGTCCTTCTTTTTATTAAACTTGATCTTCCCCTTCCCTTCTCTTTTCTCTCCCATTCCCTTATCATCAAATATATACCAAATTGATCAGAGGAGATAGGATTGTCATAAACACCATAATAGGCATCTATTACAAACCAAAATAAAGAAACAAAATGTGTCCCATCATCATAATGCAAGCCCTGGCTGTTTGTGCTCATGTCCTCACTTCAGAACCAAGTATATAGGTCATAGGGTATGTGTTGAAATTTTTGCCACCTTCCCCCCCCCACATGTCCTGTGCACTACTTATTAACATGATACATAACAATGCCTTTTTCACTGTGTTTTTTCTGCTTAAATAATACTTTCTTAGGGTAACTATTTTTTTATTTGATTTATTAAAACTGCTCAACTCAACAACAATTTGGCAGCTTACAATATGTCTAATATGTCCGGTATGTTAAAACTCTATTAAAAACACATGACTGTTGGACCTAAAATAGCACTTCCCAACATGCAAAGAAAAAAAAAGACTTGACAGGGCTTTCACAGAATCCTGAGCCTAGTTCTGGGAACAGAGTCAAGTCTTAAGAGACTTCTGGAACCCCAGGAGAGTGGGAGCCACTTATATCTCCAGACAGATGCTATTCCAGAGGGTAGGACAAGTTTTAGAATAATTCCCATTGGAAATATATTTACGTTCTTCTTAATAGACATAATCAAAACAGCTTGGAGTGCAGCCAAGCAAGTACAATGACTGTTCTAGTCTCCTAACATTTGAATTGCTGTTCATGTTTAATTGTATCTGACTTGGCTTAGCCCTAACAACTAAACTGACTACAGTTACATAAGATGAGGAGCTACACACACACACACACACACACACACACATACACACACACACACACACACACGCACACATGCACGCACGCACGCACGCACACGCACATACAAACCCTGGAAGGTCTGTGCAAAAAACTTTCTTGAAGGTATTGGATAAATTGGGTCCCGTAGGCAATCTTTCAGAAAGGCAATTGTACCATCTGATTCATTTCAGAGATCCTTCTTTAGATCACTATGCCACAATTCTATGAGAACAAATGCTAGACTGGTTAAAAATGAGGCGATCAAGTGTAGAAAGAGTTAAACGGCTACTTAGATATGGATCCTGAAATTTGACCGTAGCTGACAGATAGAAGACATTATCGACTTTACTTCCAAAGAGCCTGAAGCTCTAAATAGAACATTTCCTGAACCTTTGAATTGGGAAGACTTTTAAAATTAAATTATTTTGAATTTGAAACATCATGTTTTCAACATGAGCCCCACTCTTATTTTAAGCATTTGGGGAGTGTAAAATTCTCAGAATAGCAACATTTTACACTTGAAGCAGCTGTTTCCCACTCAAAACAGGCTGTTTTGAACTCAACGTTTTGATCCATAGCATTTGTGCACCAGTATTTTGTACGTAAATATAGACTAAAAAAAGAATCCTAAGAGATAAAATATGTTGCCTGAGGAGAGTAGTGCTGTGGCAAGAAGTATTTTATCTCCAAATGTACCTGAAGATAAACTTTCTGATGATGTAAAAGGAATGTTATATCTTAGACGCTGTATGTGAATGTCCTGGGACAGTGTTTCTCAACCTTAGCAAACTTTAAGAGAAGTGGATTTTAACTCCCACAATTTCCTGGCCAGCCATATTGGCTGAGGAATTCTGGGAATTGAAGTCCACCCATCTTAAAAGTTGCTGAGGATGAGAAACTCTGTCCTAGGGCAAAGTGAAAATGGAATTCTGGAATCATTCTGCAGAGGGGGAAAATCCATATTTTTCATAATACAGTATAACATTATTTGAAAGACAAATTCACAGCAGCTCAGAATTCAGCTGAGTATTCCATTCTTAACCACTTTGTCCTCCCTTCCTGAAAGTATTAACCTCTATTAAGGTTTTTCCTTTCTTATTATCCCGCCCAGCAGAATTATTTTTATTGTAAAGTTACATTAAAATAATTTTGCAAGTACATTTCTCCCTCATTTTCTTTACAGCAGAGGGAGAAAGGGAAGTCCCTTCTGTAATGTTTGCCATGTGTACATTCTTGTTGTGGGCTAAACTGTTGCTTATCTAGCCATTCCCCTAGTGGAGATCTTCCCCTTGTCTCCCAAAGGTCATTTCTACAAACTGTTATATAAACTGGGTGTGGAATTTTTTTTAAAAAAGAAATATATTCCCCACTCCATCCCTAAGGTAGAGGCTGTTGTGCAGTGACTCAGAATATTTCTAATTCTTCCATTTGAAATCCCATGCTTTCTTTCTTGCTGGTTACATAATCCTGACCTGTTCTTAAGAAGTTGGACAGAATTTCATGATTCTTTCTATGAAAGATTCTCATTGTCTTTCCTTATTTTGTTTATTGATTTATACACATCTTTATGTCCTCTGGATCCTCACAATAAAACACAGTCAACAAGATAAAACATATCATTTGGCTTCCTATCTAAAAGTAATCCTTCCCTGGTGTTATGGTTTTTAATTATGTTGCACCCCTTGTCCCAAAGGTTTGGAAAAGTTAGTCTTATTGCTTTCTAAAATGATTGCAGGAATGTGGCTGTCCTAATCTTAGTTGAGAGAAAGCAGGTTATTGCAAGTAATTTTCACCTGTACCTCTATTCTGAGTGGTCATTTATCTTATTTTATAAAGGGGAATCCTCTAATTTGAAATCAAATTAAATGTAATATTTAAGCTCATGAGAAAATAAGGAAAGAACAAAATACTTGAATTTGCCCATCAACATAATATCTAAACAGCATACTCAGCAGATCTAGAGTCTGTGGTCATACTTTCTATAATGAGTTACGCCACATATTTATTTCAGTCAGAGATTGTTTCTATGTCTGCACAAATGTTATGGGAATCTTTGCATCCTTCCCGCCACCTTTTTTATATATATACATATTTCTTGATAGAGTTACCCAAAATGGTGTCTTCTTATTCTACCTTCTCTAAATCTTTTGGTGAATCTATTTGTTTCCCAAGTGCATCCAGAAAATAAAAAAGGGCACTTATGTATCATATCTAAAATAATTGTAAAATGATTTAGATAAAATTCTTTTATCTCTAAACTATACAGCAGCTCATAGATAAGAGATGGGAGTTATAAGTGAGTCTGGCTTGCAAGTGAACAGCTTTAAAATAGTTTCAGGTAACAAATTAAACAATGATGAAATTTTGCAACACATATATGTATGTATGTATGCATGTATGTATACATGCATAAAATCTAGTGGAAGAAATGAACACTATCTGCCACAGATTTCTATAGTGTTTTCATCTATTATTGTTTAACAAATTCTTTCATTAGCATCTGTGTATTGTTTTTTCCTAGTCTAGTACATATTTGATCATTACAATTTTAAACATGCTAGTAGCAAGATTATGGCAGGTTTACTAAATTATTTAGAGAAATAATAAGGAAAACATATTGGTGCTCCCCAAACAGAAAACGGGGTGAAGTTGTGCATCTCATAGGCCCCAAAGAAGCTATCCATGAAAAAAAGCAAAGCTAAGACATTATTGTTATAAAATTATACACCTTATGTGGAGAATGAAGAGAAAAATGTTCACCAAACAAAGCAGAGTAATTTGCAATGTAATCTGAAGCAAAGCAAATTTAAGATGATAGAGTATAAGAATATGAATTAAGATTCCATGAACATGTTAAGTATAAATACATTAAAAATGTAAAAAAACTCACATAACAATAATAGGAATGGGTGAACAAAGCTAAAATTCAATATGATGGGAAATAGTTTATACTAAACAATTACTTTAAAACACACATACATAAACACAAACAATATGGCTTAAATAAATTTAAGACAAACATAAATACATCTCTAAAAGGGACTTTTCAATCATCTGATAGTTGATGACAAAAAAAGAGTTAAAATGAAGACATTTTTCCTACTGAAAGATTGAAATAAGATCATTCTGATTCTATTCTACAACCTTAGTTAACTCTTCTGTAATTATTAAACAAAAGAAGGATATAATTGAACAGAAAAAATAGCACAAAAGGCTAAATCAACATGGCTTTAAAATGAAGTCGGCTGAATCAATTAATAAACTTTGGCATAGCAATATATAATTTGTTAATTGTTCTTTGGCTGTAAAAGTTACAATATAATACATAATGAGAATGTAATGGATACTTTATCTGGGTTTTAGTAAAGCATGCCATATACAGTATTATACAATATCTTATGGTTAGAAGGCCAACATAAGATGTCTTGGACAGTTAATACAATCAAATGGATCAAAAACTGGCTATCTAACCGTTTTAAGAGGGTAATCGTAAGTGGCAGTCCATCTAGTTGGGGAGAGATTTCCAGTGGGATCCAGGGATCGCAATTCGGTCCCATTTTGTTTTATATCTTTATAAAAGATCTGGAAGACAAAGTAGAGAATACGCTAAATAAATTTTTTAGATTTGACTACTTAGGGAATGGTGAGCAAAACTAGAACTAACATAGTAGCTGTAAATTAATTACGGTAACTCTAAATGTCTCTGAAATTGGATGATAGATTTTACATTCCATTATTTCTAAACATAGAGACAGAAGAAGGTAACAGAACATAAGAAACTCAACAGAAGGAAAAAGAAGGCGACCTTGCTACATAGATCTGTGTCCTCCATCAAATATATTTATGCTAATAGTACAGATCACATGACAAAATAGAAGAGGCTACACAATCTCACATGAAGCCTGATTATAAGTACTAAATATATAAAGAGCTTGGGAAAAATGAAAACAAAGAACGTGAAAGTCAAGTACAGGAGATTCAAAACCAAATCTGGAGGAATAAGTTCCATTAAAGCCAATGGTAAAACATGCTGAAATATTGAAGTGGCAGTTCTTAACATAAAAAACCCCTCTGGCAAATACTCAATATAATAGTCTTCAAACTATTTTTCCAAGTTATTTCCGTGCAGGGGTTAGCACAGAAAAATGGCACACTTAGAACAAAACAAAATGGAAATTCATAAAAAAAACCATGAAAGGAGATTTTCCACATGAAGACACTGGAAATTCAAAGTGTACATTATAATTTAATTCAGTAGATCAATGTATACATTTTGGGGGGTAAATTTATTGTGTTTTCAGAACTGAATTAAGAATTTTAATTGAAACAAACACAAAACTGCATATTATTACACAGAAATTGTACAACAAATAAGAGCAGAATGTGAAGTAAAATAAACTTTTCTGCACTTGCCAACTTTTATAATGCTATATTATGTTATACTATTGATTTTATAGTAATTTCTTTGATTATTGTGAGACATCCAGAATTATTTTAATTTTATTTGGCATTCTTGGATTGTTTTCCAGTATTTCCTTTTATTCTTAATATAGTTCTTTTAATATCAACAGATTTGATATCACTAATTTTAAAAGAGAATTTCTCATTAGAAATCCATCCTGTGTAAGACTCCAATTTTACTTTCCTATTCTTACATTTTAGGACTGAAAACAAAGTTTGTTAAATTGTGTGATTCTAGTCCTTAAATGTCATGAACCAACAAATGTTCCCTTTGTGCAAGGCAATGCTTAATATAATGTTCTGTGTGCTAGCTCATTGTCCTATAAACTAAAAAAAAGAAACCCCTATTATAACTATGCAAAACTTTGGATTTTAAGAGAAGTCTAGGAGTACTTATATACTATCTGTTAGGAACTCTTAAAGCAGTTATATCTTTTCCTAGGAAATAAGCTGCTTTTGGTGTCCTTGGTGCTCCCTGAGCTTGGTTATTTATTTGTTTGCAAACATCTTATTACCCAGCTAGGTAATAGTAGTGTGAGTGAATGGGGAGTTTGGTGGAGGCAGAAAACAGTACTCTAATTAAGAAACTGGCAAGGAGAAAACTACACTCCTCCAAAATCAGCAGGGCAAGCTACTGCATAAAAATAGGTAACTTCACAATAATTTGCCTTGATGATGCTATAGTTAGATAATTAAATGTCTGCAAGCAAACAACCAAGCTGAGAGAGCACCAAGAATTTCACAATTCAACCCTGAGATATTGCCTTCTATTGAAAGATCTTCTAGTCTTAGGAGTTCCCAATAGGTCCTAGATGTATGCCCATGCATGCTGCAAAGCACTTTTTCTCTGTGGAACTGAAGTACTTCATAGCTCATGTACTAATCTTCAACACTAGGCTGCTTCAGTTTATTAGATTATCTCATATACCTTAGAAGACACTTCAGCTATTTTTAATGGTTTTCCTTTCATTCAAATGGTAGCATTCTCCCAACTGTCCAGTCCACAGAAAATAAAAAAAAGAAAACTGTATTCTACACAAACACCACCATTTTGATGTTAGGGAGATCTGCTCTCGAGATTAAGTTTGAAAATATCTTTCCTTTGGTAAAGTCTGCTGCAATCACCATATAGAGCTGATCTCAGAATTTACACATTCAGCTGCAAAATTCTGGTTTAGATGTTTAAATTTATAATCCTGCAGATTTGGTCAACATATGAATACCAAATCAATTAGGTTGTTTTAGAACACTTTTGTGGCTCCTTGAGATGAGATATCCCTCCAAGATAATTTGAAAGAAACTTAAATTATTGTAAGACTTTATGAGAACTTCGGGAACTACTGAACAGTTTGGAAAAGGATGGACCTTCTGAATGCTTTTCTTTTGTTGAAGTTTTGTTTCACTGCATACCTGGATGGGATGATGATGGTTGCGGGCAGTAATGGAATGACTAAAATTTAGGGCTGTGCATGATCTGGAAATGCATCAGATGCCTCAAATGTGAGATCAGAACTCTTTTTCTAAACCCCCCAAAATGTTTAAGAGTCTCATTAATCTCTACAGAGGAAGATTTTTGAGGATATTTGCAAATAAAAATAGTTACCATCCCTAGAGGATATATTTACTTATCAAGTAATACTTCTGAATCTACCTTTGTGAAATTTGACATGATTTCTTGTCACAGTGCAAATCTATAACATTATTTTTATAAACATTGCCCCTCAAGAGAGAACATTAATTAACGCATTCTACAAAAAACATTTAGAATTCAGTTTAGAGATGTAAAGCTTATATCAACAGGTACTTTGTATTTTGGATTACAAAGGAGGAACTCAGAAATTAAATATTCATCTATACTACTTTTAGGTTTTTTTACCTTTTTCTAAACATTTATAAATAATAAATATAGAGTTTATCTCTATGTAAAAACTCTATAATAATATAGATATTTTTTAATTAAACTCAAACTTCTTTCTTCCTTTTTTTAATTTATATAGTCATCCATCTTACAAAAGCAATTCTGGGTAGCACATAACAATGAGATAAAACAACAATGTAAAAAACCACAGATATGTAAAAATCCATATTAATAAATATAATAAAAAATCAAATATATGAACTCTAGGTGATGTGAAGGATAACAATGGCCACCTCAACAATAGAGGCATCTCAGCAAGTCTCCAGTGCCCTGGGAGTCCCAGGCCTGATAACATAATCAGTTTTGAGGGCCTTAATAATCTAATTTTGAGACAAAGGAGGTTTCTTAAGGCAGGTGCCATTTAGAGAAGGCATGTGTACTAGGACCCACCAAACTTAGGTCCCGAGATGATGGGACCCTCTCTGCTAGATCTAATGGGGACAAGCTGATAAGAGTGGGGAGAGGTAGTCCCTCAGATATAGATATATTTTTTTTGATACTTCTTTTATTAGAGCAATTACTAATTGTGATATTGAATAATAATTGCACAACATCAGTAATTATCTTTTTATTCATCAATATCATTTTTTAAAACAAAAATATACATTTGTTCTAAGTAAACTAAAAAGATTATAAGAAAACTAAGTAATAATAATAGTTTCATGTTTAATGAATAAGAGATAATAATAATAATAATAATAATAATAATAATAATAATAATAATAATAATATAAGCACATACTGTTGAAATATTTCTTAAAACAAGGAAATGAATATCTCTCTATATTTGTAGACCTCTATATGCTGTATGATTGCTAAACAAAGCTATTTGTTTTTTTTAAAATCATATTTTAGCCAATTTAAAGCACTTTCAACGGATGTAAAATGTCACACTGTCCCTCTGTAGTCATGTCATTTCAAGCGCTTGACAATTGGCATGGATTTATGACCAGTTGCAACGTCCTACGGTTGCATGACAGTGATTTGCGATCTTTGACGGAGGGAATGGATTCAGACTTAAGGCCACATGATCTGTTTAATGCCATGTGATTTGCATAATGACTGCCATAAAAATGGTTGAAAAATAAGGTCTAATCACATAATGCCTCTGTACTGACGGCTTCAATTTATGGTTGAAATTTCGGTGCCCATCATGATTGTAAGTTGAGGACTGACTGTATTCCATGAAATCCTATCAACCTAATAGAAAGCATCAACCTAATAGAAAGAAGATCTGATCTACACAGAACACTGTAATTAATTTTTAAAAAGCTGCATTCATTTTTAAGTTTGTAAAAGAGCCAGGTTCCCAAATATCTACTGTTATTCTTTTAAAATTAGGCAGTTTTCATTCCATTATTTTTATACTTCTTTCTTCCATTGTTTCATTTCAGAATTTACATACTATTTTTCTACCCTGAGATCCTCACATTACTGCTTTGTTTATTATATTATTTTGTATGAATGTGATATAGAAGGCGTCTATAGGTAATTTCTCAATTTAGGGGCTTCTAGCATTTTCAAACCTCATTCAGCCATTGTTGTGCCAAAATAAAAATAATGAAAATAAGCTACATTTTGGTATGGAGTGATACAGAAATAAGTTTTTATTTTCTTTCATTTAGCCTTTTACGCTATTTTGTTTGTATTTCATGTGGTTAAGTGACATTAATAAAACATTCTAAGCCATTACAATGCTCTTGTCTTCTGTTTCCTGCTTGGTTGTCAATTAAGAACAAGTGTTGTGTTCTAAAGATCCTATGATTCTCAAAATGACTGTCATTATTATAAGCAAGAATGAGCAAAAGTATTCCCAAAGGTGCTTTTTCAAGAGGCAACTGGACTTTCTTTGTTGTTCCTTAAAGACGTTTCACTTCTCATCCAGTTCCCACAGTCAGAACGGAAGAAGCGTTTTAGATGAAAAGCGAAATGTCTTCAAGGAACAACAAAGAAAGTTCAGTTGCCTCTTGAAAAAGCACCTTTGGGATAATCATGACCTAAATGACTGAGAATCTCCATAGACATTGAGCAAAAGTATTAATCTTTTTGACTTCTGGAAAGCAGTGCCTCCAGGGGGCACCCTTTGCCAACCGAGACATTTGCTGTTTTGCCTTCTGTTGCATATTGCAGAACCCTATTTTTGCCCCTCCTCCTGCATAACTCCTCTTTTCCAACTTCCACCTGACAAAAATAATGACCAAGCCAGCCACAATTTCATAATGTTAATTAGGGCAGAAGACTATTGTCTCTCCAGCAATTGCCCCCTTGCTGTAAAATACTAGACAAAAAAACCCCTACAACTGAAACTCATTTGCAAGAACATATGGCACTCTAAACTCACTGACATTTTCAACATCCATAGTAATAAAAAGGTAGATGTAAATTGTAATTATGATTTTAATTTTTATATGTATTTTTGGGAGTCTGACTCACTGGAGGTAATAGAACTTTCTTCAGAGTTAGTATTTGTAGCATATGCTGAATATTGTGGAAAATATTTTTCAATAGGTTCAGTATTTTTACTGAATTACATGAAACGGGCTAGACGTCCAAAGAGATACAGATATAGATACAGAGCTAGGCATGAGTTATTTAAAGTTCTTCTATTAATTTCAATTTAATTCAATTTAAGGGTACCTACTTAAATCAGATCAACTGAATATTAATCCCTCCAAACTCCATGAAACTTAACTTTTTAAGTAAACATAATTATGTTGTGTAGTATATTTTAATTAACGTAATTTATCAATGTTTTCTAGATTCTTTTCCTGTGAAAAGCCACTAATGAAAGCAGTATATCACTTATAGTGAAAATTGATGAATGCTAGCATATTCTTCTTTTCCCTGCCTCTCTATACTTTAATGAAACTAAATATAGAAGCTAGATAAGGCTAGCAAGAGAGATGTCAATGCTATTTAGTCAGACATTGTGCAGTTTAATCACATAAAATTATCACAGCACCACTATTATAATACTGGGGCTGGAAAAGAAGAAATTAAAAAAAAAATCTAATCTGGAATTATACAATCTTCAATATATCTCTGATCTCCTTTCCTTAATTTTCATGCAAATACTTATAAAGAGTTTGGATTGAAAACATTATTTATTAATTCAAGTTTTATATACATACAATTTTACAAAAAATATATATTATCTGGATTTATTCTGTACTTCAGTGGAACTAGATTTTCACTCATATCTTTGCTATAAAAATATATTGTTAACATGCTAACCTGTAAAATAAAAAAATGAATAAACACACACACACACACTCTTGTTTTTCTCATAAGACTTCATGCAGCTCTTTAGCACTTTTAGCCATCATTTTGGATTGTAAAAGTCTTCAAACATCACCCTGAAATATGATAAAAAATTGAATGTGCGATGTATAGATCTTGGAAATCAACCTTGAGGAAAGAAAGTTCCATTAAAATGACAATGTAGGTTCCTAATGCATTAAAAGATGATTTTTCAAGATGATTCTTTGTAGATCAAATAAGTATTATTTATTTTGTAATCGGAACAAAGTCACTTTCCTACAATACTACTTTTTTTGCCTGACATCATGTAACTCTTGACCTTTTCTGTTTCGGAGTACTAACTAGAATCATGTGAATTGGATGGTTCTATTAAGAAGCAAAACTGTCAGGAGCACTTCCAAGAAATAATTTAATTCTTATTATAATTTATATGTGTGTGTGTATCTTATTTACCTACTGCAAATGGTTTTTTTAAATGTTGCTTTTACTATTGGTTATTATCTGTATTGTGTCTCTCTCTTGTAAACCACCCAAATAACAACGTAATTAGACAGCATAAAAATGGTAAACAAATTTAAATAAAATATATATTCATATGTAGGAGTTGAGCACACCAGAAGTGTGAAAAAAGGGGAAAAACAATTCTAACTAAACAAATGTTTGCCTCGCTTTTTTTAAAAAAAAAATAAACTTCAGCATGTCTTATTCATTTGATTGCTTTGAAATGGGCTTATTTGACCTCTATGTAATGAAAAGTTGTAGATCAGTTTTCATTTATATTTTCATTAGACTGGATAATCCTCCAGCTGTAAATAAGGGTACATTTTCATTGCATTGGAGCTTCTGATCATCTGGAAAACCCTATCTTAAAAGCCAAGATGTTACTCTCTTATTCCTATGTGACTTGTTTGGCAGAGTCTATTGCTTCTGAAAGGCCTGTTAGGAAGAAATGAATTATCTAATACTGCAACTGGTAGAGGACACTCTATAAACTTCCCATTTCAATTTACCTTGTTGACATCCATTCGTAATTTCTCATTGTTAGCACTGGCAGCTCTTTCTGCTGCTTTCTTCTGGCGCTGTGGTCCCCTCCCAAAAAAGATGTAGTTCACCAAGGCATACTCCAGAAGAGCCATGAATACAAAGACAAAGCAGCCCATCAGATACATGTCAATGGCTTTCACATAGGGGATTTTGGGTAATGTTTCTCGCAGATGGGTATTAATGGTTGTCATTGTCAGCACCGTTGTAATCCCTGCAAAACATCACAAAATTCCAATTTAGTATGCATTTATGTTTTCTCTGTTTTTCTGTGTGTATTGCATGTATGTATGTTTTTCTCGTTAATGTGCAAAGGTCATTGTAATAGAGGGTGCAACATGGGTATATCCAGAAAATGAAAGAGGAGTAAAAAGAAGCTTCATTCCTACATTTTACTCCTGCTTTCCTTGTTGTTTGATTTTGTTATGGCGGTGCTGAGAAAATTTTAAGTATTATTAAATATGCAAACCAACATCAAGGAAATGCAGTAAAATTTTGGTTTAATGGTTCAGTTACAATGAATGAATTTACTGCCGTTTAATAGACTAGTGATTGGTAAACTGAGGATGTGTCAATTAAATTGAAGTTTTACTGCAAATGACAGCATTTATATCAATTATGCACACAAATGATGTAAATTTGGGTTTAATTGAGCTCTGTTAAAGTGCAAAGAAAGTTCCTTCTTCTGATGATTTGTTAAACAGAGATGTTACCACAGGCAGGATGGAGGCTATTGTTTTTCCACTTCATGTTCTTTATAGTTAAGATGTTTTTATGTGTTGTTTGGTTGTCAGAAATAAAATATCTTGTTTAGAGTTTAGGAGTTTGAAATGGAGCTCCTGGATTCTTGCATTGAAAGAACAGTATGCTTAACACATATTACATTATAGTAATATTTCTTCTTATAAGCTATTAAGGCATACATAATTGGAGGATTTGGGTCTTCGGATGTATTGGAAGATGCATAACAAAAACAAATTCTAATAAAATTCAAGAGTTAATTACAAAATAAACAGAGACATTGACATATATTACTTTTAAACTACAAAACTGCAACATATATTAAAGCTGTATAAGAAATCAGAACTTTCTTAAAAACAGTTTTGTTAGGAAGACTTCACTCTAATGTTTGATTTGTGTGCAGTGATATGATTGCCATGGTTAGATTAGGATCTGGGAAACCCAACTCAGGACAAAGTAGAGTGCTGATTTCAGGATGTTTGCAATTTCTTAAATTATTTTGAACTGAAATTAAAGAACGAGTACTGTGTGCCCCATCTCATGGTCTTGAAATAGAAATGGAATCAATAAATAACAAACATTTTTGTTTATTTTTAAATTTATAAATGGTACCTTAATCCCAAAGAACCAGCAAGGTTAAACATTAAGTGTAATAAAATAATCTAAAATTGAAATGCAGACCAAGTGAAACAAAAAAATAAATAACATTAAATACAATTTGATTTAAAAATCTGGGCAAATAAGTAGCTGAAAAAAAGTCAAAAATCCCTACAAAACAAAAGCCTGTCTATTCTGATCTGAGATATAATCTAGCTACATTTTTATCTCTCCAGAAAATAGAAGAAAGCATTAAATCTATGAATAGAGGACAAAGTCCTAGGTCAGACAAATACTTATTTACTAGTATAAGATATAAAATTTCCTCCTCATCCCTATGGGTGGTATGTGTCTTCCCCAATCTCGGGTCCTCTACCAGAGACCAAACCAGCTATTATTTTCAGATAATATGATATGGACAATGCATCCTGTAGACTGTACTAAGTATAGTTCCCATCAGTCCTGACAGATTCAAAATTACAGGAAGCATCTGTGAGATTCGTTGCCTGCGTAACAAGGAGTTGTTATTCATAGGTAACAAACCTGATATATCAGCAAGACAATAATATCTAAATGTATGTTGTTGTTAGTTGCGGAGTCATGTCCGACCCATTGCGACCCCATGGACAATGTTCCTCCAGGCCTTCCTGTCCTCTACCATCCTCTGGAGTCCATTTAAGTTCACGCCTACTGCTTCAGTGACTCCATCCAGCCACCTCGTTCTCTATCGTCCCTTTCTTCTTTTGCCCTCAATCTTTCCCAGCATTAGGCTCTTCTCCAGTGAGTCCTTCCTTCTCATTAGGTGGCCAAAGTATTTGAGTTTCATTTTCAGGATCTGGCTTCTAAAGAGCAGTCAGGGTTGATCTCCTCTAGGACTGACTGGTTTGATCGCCTTGCAGTCCAAGGGAATCGCAGGAGTCTTCTCCAGCACCATAGTTCAAAGGACTCAATTCTTTGGCGCTCAGCCTTTCTTATGGTCCAACTTTCACAGCCATACATTGCAACTGGGAAAACCATAGCCTTGACTATACACACTTTTGTTGGCAGGGTGATGTCTCTGCTTTTTAGTATGCTGTCTAGATTTGCCATAGCTTTCCTCCCCAGGAGCAAGTGTCTTTTAATTTTTTGGCTGCAATCCCCATCTGCAGTGATCTTGGAGCCCAGGAAACTAAAATCTGTCACTACCTCAATTTCTTCCCCATATATTTGCCAGGAATTTAGAGGGCCGGATGCCATGATCTTAGTTTTCTTAATGTTGAGTTTCAAGCCAACTTTTGCACTCTCCTTCTTCACCCGTAGCAAGAGGCTCTTTAGTTCCATTTTTCTTTTTGCCATTAGAGTGGTATCATATGCATATCTGAGGTTGTTGATATTTCTCCCGGCAATCTTAACTCCAACTTTTGATTCATCTAGCCCCGCCTTTCTCATGATGTGCTCTGCATATAAGTTAAATAGGCAGGGTGACAGTATACAGCCTTGCCGGACTCCTTTCCCAATTTTGAACCAATCAGTGGTTCCGTGTCCAGTTCTCACTGTTGCTTCTTGACCTGCATGTAGGTTTCTTAAGAGACAAATAAGATGGTTTGGTACTCCCATCTCTTTAAGAACTTGCCACAATTTGTTGTGGTCCACACAATCAAAGGCTTTAGCATAGTCAATGAAGCAGAAGTAGATGTTTTTCTGGAACTCCCTAGCTTTCTCCATGATCCAGCGTATGTTGGCAATTTGATCTCTAGTTCCTCTGTCTCTTCGAAATCCTGCCTGTACTTCTGGTAGTTCTGGATCCACATACTGCTGGAGCCTAGCTTGTAGGATTTTAAGCATAACCTTACTAGCATATGAAATGAATACAATGGTGCGATAGTTTTAACGTTCTTTGGCACTGCCTTTCTTTGGAATTGGAATGTAAACTGACCTTTTCCAATCCTGTGGCAAGTTTTCCAAATTTGCTGGCAAATTGAGTGTAGCACTTTTACTGCATTGTCTTTTAAGATTTTGAATTGCTCAGCTGGAATACTGTTTCCTCCACTAGCTTTGTTGTTGCTCAAATTTCCTAAGGCCCATTTGATTTCACATTCTAGGATATCTGGCTCAAGGTCAGTGACCACCCCATCATGGTTATCAGGGATGTTAAGCTCGTTCTTGTATAGTTCTGTGTAATTTTGCCACCTCTTTTTGATCTCTTCTGCCTCTGTTAGGTCCCTCCCATTTTGGTCCTTTATCATGCCCATCTTTGCATGAAACGTTCCCTTCATATCTCCAATTTTCTCAAAGAGATCTCTGGTCTTCCCTATTCTATTGCTTTCTTCTATTTCTTTATACTGTTCATTTAAGAATGCATTCTTATCTCTTCTAGTTATTCTCTGGAATTCTGCATTCAACTGGGTGTATCTTTCTCTTTCTTCCTTGCCTTTCGCTTCCCTTCTTTCCTCAGCTATTTGCAAAGCTTCCTCAGACAACCATTTTGCTTTCTTGTCTTTCTTTATCTTTGGGATGGTTTTAGTTGCTACCTCTTGTACAATGTTGTGAACGTCTGTCCATAGTTCTTCAGTCACTCTGTCTATCAGATCTAATTCCTTAAATCTATTTGTCACCTCTACTGTATATTCATCAGGGATATGATTTAGTTCATACCTGAGTGGCCTAGTGCTTTTCCCTACTTTCTTCAATTTAAGTCTAAATTTTGCAATGAGAAGCTCATGATCTGAGCCACAGTCAGCTCCTGGTCTTGTTTTTACTGACTGTATAGAACTTCTCCATCTTTGGCTGCAGAGCACATAGTCAATCCGATTTCTGTGTTGACCATCTGGTGATGTGTAGAGTCGTCTCTTGGGTTGTTGGAAAAGAGTTGTTGTTTTGCTATGACTATCGTATTATCTTGACAGAATTCTATCAGAATTCTAGCCCCCCTCATTTACGATCTTGTTCTGGAGGGGGGTGCAGACCTGGCGGGTATTATGGAGACCTGGTTGGGCTGGGAGGGGGGATTTCCCCTCGTTGAGATGTGCCCACCAGGCTTCCATGCATTACATCAGCCGAGGGCTCAGGGTAGGGGCGGAGAGGTGGCGGCTATTATAAAGGAAGATCTTTGTCCGAGGGAGCCACTGTACCTCAGATAGCTGGATATGAGTTCCTCCTTGTGAAGTGGGGGTCATGGGGTGCAGATGGGCTTGCTGATTGCGTACCTGGCTCCCTGCTACGTAGCGGCAGCCCTGCCCGGGCTGCTCAACGTAATAGCCGGGACTGGCGGTGGATACTCCCAGACTTATGGTCATGGGGGATTTCAACCTGCCATCTGTCGGTGAAATGTCAGAGGCAGCTCGGGAGTTCATGGCTTCCATGACGGCCATGGACCTGACGCAGTTAGTTCAAGGCCCTACTCAAATGGGGGGACACACTCTGGATCTGATTTTTGTCTCTGGTCAATGGTTGAATGATCTAGAAGTAGGGGAGGTAGTCATCAAGCCCTTGTCATGGTCAGATCATTCACTCCTTCGACTAGACTTCCGAGCCGCTACCCTCTGCTGCAGGGAGACGGAACCGGTTAGGTGGTTCCGTCCCAGGCGCCTGATGGATCCGGATAGGTTCCTGATGGAGCTTGGGCCATTCCCTGAGGCTCTGGCTCACGACTTGACTGAAGAACTGGTGGCCGCCTGAGATAGGGCAGCCGCTGGAGCTTTGGACCGCATTGTGCCTTTGTGGCTTCTGACCCGGTGCCGATCTCAATTGGCTCCTTGGTTCTCTGAGGAGCTGAGAGAGATGAAGCGCCAGAAAAGATGCCTGGAGAGCAATTGGAGGGCCAGCTGCTCCGAATCTGACTGAACACTGGTGAGATCTCATATTAAGATCTACCTAGTGGTGATAAGAGCGGCGAAATCTAATTATTTTTCCGCTCTTATTGCATCTGCAGAGAACCACCCAGCCGCCCTGTTTAGGGTGACCCGCTCCCTAATTCATCTGGGAGCGCGGGAAGACCCCTTGCACGAAAGAGCTGAGGATTTTGTGCAATACCTGTATCACAAAATCGCTCAGATTCGGGAAAGCCTGGACTCTGACTAGGTAGGTTCAGATGGGGTGACGGAGGTGGGCCTTGAGAGTGTTATCTGGGAGGAGTTTGACCTTGTGACTCCCGAGGACGTGGACAGGATTCTGGGTAGGATTAGCGCTGCCACATGTTTATTGGACCCGTGTCCCTCCTGGTTGATGCTGGCCTCCTGGGCGGTCACACAAGACTGGCTCCAGGTGATTATTAACGCTTCTCTGAGTGAGGGTTTCTTCCCTTCCGCCCTGAAAGAGGCGGTGGTGAGGCCCCTCCTCAAGAAGCCTTCCCTGGACCCAGCTGTATTAGCGAACTATCGTCCAGTCTCCAACCTTTGCTTTCTGGCAAAGGTTGTGGAGAGTGTGGTGGCGCGACAACTTTCCCAGTACCTGGATGAAGCTGTCTATCTAGATCCATACCAGTCGGGCTTCAGGCCGGCATACAGCACAGAAACGGCATTGGTCGCATTGGTTGATGATCTCTGGAGGGCTCGGGACAGGGGTTGTTCCTCTGTCCTGGTCCTATTAGACCTCTCAGCGGCTTTTGATACCATCGACCATGATATCATGCTGCGCGGTTGGAGGTGTTAGGAATGGGGGGCACCATGCTGTGGTGGTTCTCCTCCTTCCTCTCTGACCTCACGCAGTCTGTGTTGGCCGGGGGACAGAGGTCAACCTCGAGGCGCCTTGTTTGTGGGGTGCCACAAGGGTCGGTCCTCTCGTCCCTCATGTTCAACATTTATGTGAAGCCAATGGGTGAGATCATCTGTGGTTTGGGGTGAAGTTCCATCAGTACGCTGATGATACTCAGCTGTACATTTCCACCCCGGACCACCCCAATGATGCCCTTGATGTGATGTCCCGGTGCCTGGTGGCTGTGCAGATCTGGATGGGGAGAAACAAGCTCAGACTCAACCCCTCCAAGACTGAGTGGCTGTGGTTTCCGGCGTCCTGGTATAGCCAGCTGGCTCCATTGCTGACTATTGGGGATGAGATCTTGACCCCCTCAGAGAGGGCTCGCAACTTGGGTGTCCTCCTGGATGCATGGTTGTCTTTAGAAGACCATATGACGGCGGTGGCCAGGGTTTTTTTTTATCAGGTTCGCCTGATTTACCAGTTGCGTCCCTTTTTGGACCGGGATGCCTTGCGCACGGTCACTCATGCACTCGTCACTTCCCGTCTGGACTACTGTAATGCTCTCTTCATGGGGCTCCCCTTGAAGAGCACTTGGAGACTCCAACTGGTCCAGAATGTGGCCAAACGGGTGATTATGGGAGCGACACGGCGCACCCATGTAACACCTCTCCTGCGCGAGCTGCAGTGGCTCCCGGTGGTCTTCCAGGTGCGATTCAAGGTGATGGCTACCATCTTTAAAGCGCTCCATGGCTTAGGACCTGGGTACTTACGAGATCGCCTTCTGCCACCGATAGCTTCCCACCGGCCAATACGCTCCCATTCTGTCATTTTGGGGATTGTACTCCAGTGTTGCTTTTACTACTCTTTTATTGATTATGAAAGCTACTCCATTTCTTCTGAGGGATTCTTGCCCGCAGTAGTATACCTGATGGTCATCAGAATTAAATTCATCCATTCCTGTCCATTTTATTTCACTGATTCCTAAGATGTCGTTGTTCAGCCTTGTCCCCTCTTGTTTGAATGTGTCCAGCTTGCATTGATTCATGGATCCAACATTCCAGGTTCTTATGGAGAAAAAATCTTTACAGCATCGGACTTTCCTTTCACCACTAGATGCATCCACACCTGACCATCCTTTCAGCTTTGGCCCAGTTGCTTCACTCTTTCTGGCGCTACTAATACTAGCCCTCTGCTCTTTCCCCAGTAGCATATTGGACACCTTCTGACCTGAGGGGCTCATCTTCTGGCATCATATCTTTTTTTCTTTTGGTTCCATGGGGTTTTCATGGCAAAGACACTGGAGTGGGTTGCCATTTCCTTCTCCAGTGGATCACATTTTGTCAGAACTCTCTGCTATGACCTGTACATCATGGGTGGCCCTGCACGGCATAGCACATAGCTTCATTGAGCTATGCAAGCCCCTTTGCCATGACAAGACAGAATCCATGAAGGGGATCTAAATGTATATCTCCTGGCAATTATTCTTTATAAGATTATTTTTGGCAAATTTTGTAATTTGTAGAATTTGAAACAGAAATTAGCAGGAAACAACATAATCCTATTAGTTAAGAGTATTGCTTTATGTTCATCTGATAATGACTGTAAGAGAAGGGCAATTGAATCTTACTGTATTCTTGGGTAAGGAATTCTAGAAGCTACTTTCTATTGAATCAGCATATAGGTCTAATTCAGTATTATTTATCCTGATGAGCAACAGCACCTCAGGTTTTGGATGAATGGAAAGGAATATTTATTATATCCGCAACTCCCTTTTCAAATTATCTGTAACCCTCACAGCATTCAGAGCGGTTTTAAATAGGGAGAGGTTGCTTTCAGATATAAAACAAATAGACAAAGCAGACAAGGGTTTAGGGCTGGAAAGAAAAGTAGCTCAGATAGGCCAGTTCTTTAAAGTGGCATCTTATGTCTAATTCAGATCTGCTGTTTTTGCTTGGCTAATTGGTGGTTTTCTCTAAAAATAATTCTTGTTCTTTTGTCTCATAGCTGGCAGTTGAATTTGAACAGGAGTCTTTTCCAGCCTTATTACTGACATTAGTCAGATCTAGGGCTTTTTATCTGAAGTTGATGTTTCCTCCATTTTGTTTGTAATTTAAAAGGTAAAATCACATGAGGAATCCAATAAAAATTTTCACATTATCAATAACATAAGCATAATACTGTAAAAGCAATCAGGATTAGAACAAAATGCAGTTTGTGTATTTCTGTGTATTTAATTTACAAGAGAACATGTTTAATTTTTCAGCTGCAATATAATTAGTCAAACATGGAATTTTAAACTGGAGTTGCAATGATACTATGTAATAATGCTGCATCACCCCAGAGCATATTTTATGTAGTCCAGATGAGTTCACATTTCAATTAAGTTACCGTAACTATTTTAGATAACTTGGAACCAATTTGCTTAAGTGCAAATGCTGGTCAACAGGAAATTTTCCACTCATACAATCATGCGATCTAAGTATATATGTTTGTATAGTTAACATATTCAATGTGAATAAATTAAAAATACCTACCTAAAGCCACTCTTGCAGCTGACGCATCATAATTAATCCAGAATGATACCCAAGACAGAATAGTGATCAGAATAGAAGGCATATAAGTCTGCAGAATGAAATAGCCAATGTTTCTCTTAAGTTTAAAACTTAGGGACAACCTGGGATAAGAACCTAGAAAAAAACAAAAAGTTTTCAAATACTGTTTGAACAAATATCATGTAAACAGACAATTCCAGACTATTATGGCTATTGAGATGAAAATGCCATTAACTTAACAAAGGAACAAAGAATTTAGGCATCTTAATTTATACTATACCTAAAGAAAGTTTTCAAAAGGCAACACACAGATACATCAGATTTGTATATTGAGTGTGTATCAGAACATTGCCTACTTATCCAAATGGGTGAGATATGACAACAGTACATAGTCATAGCTTTCACAGAACACTTTTTAATAATATAGAAAAAGTGAAGACTACAATCTGTAGTGTTACATATTTGTTGATTACATGTGTAATCAACGCCCAGCATGCTTATGTTATTTTTACAGGCTAAAATCCTTAATCTAGAACTACTTTAGTAGCTGAAAGCCTTGACTGACCAAAGCCAAGAAGTGTATCAGAGGTCAATCTTTAGGGATTCATCTGTTGATGACTATAGAATATGGACAATAATGACTTGGAATGTAAAGAAGGTGAATGAGAAAAAGCATGGATTTACAAATTAAAGGAAAGGAAGAAAAAAATGTTTCATATTTGTAAAACTAAAAGAATGGGAAAGGATTAATAGATTTGAAAGAAATGATGACATGATATGGACTAGTTTAAATGCATACATGTGGGAAAGTGAACGTGTAGGTTTAATTATGAATACAAGGGTAGAATATACATGTTAGAAAGTATTTTGACATCCAAAATGTGTATGAGGAATAGGAATCCATAGGTTGGTGATACTTTCATGCTATACTGTAGTGAATAGTTATAATGGAAGAATGAGGATGATCACTGAAATTTAATTAATTTTAGTAAAAGTTTGAGAGAACTGGTGAAGGTCTTAAAGGTAATAAGAGGTTCTCAGTGTGAACTGGATTATTCTTTTTGGTAAATTTATTGAGGAAAAAAATGGACATTTAAAAAAGAGAAAAAATACTTTCATGAAAGTAGAATGACTGCAGGAAAACAAAATACAGGTCCTGTTGGAAATTAAATTAAATTTTCTAACAGCATCTATGTGAAGTGGAAGTGATAAAAATGGATGTGGAAGCTGCTCAGAACAGACTGAAAAGAATTATGCTGCCTAATGCCATAGAAGTGTGTGGAGTTATGATAATGAGAAAAGTTATGCTAAAAAGAAAAAAGACTGGTAGAATGATGAAATATTGAAAATGGAAAAAAAATAAAGTAAGATTTCGGCTAAAATGAAAATGACAGAAAGGAATTGTATAATATCTGCATAGAGAAAAAAGAAATTTACAAGGAACATAGATAAAGAGAGCAAAGGGAGAGAAAATACAGGTAATGTAGATGATCAGTCTGAGCCTGAAGGAGAGGTCAAACACATCATTTCCTACAAGTAAATTTTGACTGGACAAAATTGTGTGTGGGGGGAGGGGAAAATGTTTTTTGTTTGTTTGCTGGGTTAGTAAAAAAAGGTAAATAAGGAGTCTTCACCAGAGTGAATGGAATGAAAAATTAAAGTAATTAAATCATTGGGATAAAACTAAGATGATGGAAATTTATACAAAAAGGTAATTGCATGTTGAGAACAGAACTGAAAATTGAGAAGGCTTAAGATAAGGAAATTATTAAAATATAAATTTGGTTGGTTTACTGAGTGGTTATGACTTATTTAACATAAAGGTAAATATTATATTTATGGTGTGCCTGATAATTGTAAACAAACCTGTTGCTGCTCCTATATACTATGACACTGCTCTGGTGGTGCAGTGGTTAGAATGCAGTACTGCAGGCTAACTCTGCCCACAGTCTGGAATTTGATCCTGATGGGCTGAAAGTTGATCCAGCCTTCTATTCTTCTGAGGTTGGTAAAATAAGGACCCAGATTGCGCGGGGATGGGGGGCAATATGCTGCCATTGTAAACTGCCCAGAGAATGCTGTAAAACACTATGGGCAGTATGTAAGTCTAAGTGCTATTGATATTACTATTTCTATACTAATGGAAAAATAGAAAATGAACACAAAAATTATAGGGTGATTAGTTTGTCAAGCACATCCAGGGAGAGGTTTAATAGTTTTCTAATCAAAAGAGCACAATAACGAAAATAAAAATTTTGAAAGAATAATGTGGTTGTATGCTTGGCAATGAGTTTGCAGATCAGATATTTGTTTTTCAACAGCCCTCTCCTCTCTCTCACGAGGGGTATAAAAGATATACCCACGTATATCTTTTAACACCTTACCCTGGCTTTGCCAGTCCTTCTCTTACAAAAATGAAGTTTAATTTATACTAGACAAACTATGACTGGCTGGGTTATCCTTTCAGAGGTATTTCCTTACTTAAACAGACAAACAGAGCAAAAACTAGTGGGAATTGGAATGACTTCTGATTTCCTGGTGGCTTCTCCATTGATTTTCCTTATAGGGAGGTTGGGAAGCATGTGAAATCTCCCTCCCTCCGTTGCAATGTATGTATACCTCTGTATACAGGTGATGCCGTGTCATTAGTTGAAACCCCAATGATTTGCAGTAAATGTAATTTAGAGTGTATAAAGCAACAAGGAATACAGATTTGAAAATTAAGTCAAAAATCTAGGCCTGCTAAATGAATGTCGACAGAAAACAAAAGAGAATAGCCAATAAAGAAATACATTGAAATGGTTTGGTCACATAAGAGAGTGAATGACAATCTATTTGCAAAACAGATACAGTATATGAAGTATACTGTACTTCAGTATATGAAGGAAAAGTGAATGGTTAAGAGGAAAGGGAAGACAAAGGAGGTTATGGCTATATGAAGTTGGGGGGGGGGGAACCTTAAAAAATCTGGGAAATTTGAATATTCTGAATGAATCAGAATATGGAAGTGGTAGAAGTCAGGATATTTTGCCAGGGTGGAAAAATATATAAAGGTATCGTGAAAATATGGAAAGTTATTGTGAAAACTGTTTGCATAAATCAGATTTATTTATTTACTTTTTTATTCTTAACTCATGGCTTTAATTTCTTTGGTTTATTATTTTTATTTCTATTTCTTCACTTCACTTAACAGTACTTACCTTGAAAGGGGGTAAGTAGAAAGATGCATTTATTTGTGTCACACACACCCACACATGTATGCAAACACACAAGCACACACTACTAACACATGAATAACATGTGCAACAGCCATGGTTCAACACAACTGCAGGAAAGATACGATAGAAATATGCCATATTCATATCCCTATGTGCTCTGGAGTATTTTTCAGTATCAAATCTAAAGCACTGCACAGTTATAATGAATAGACACTGCATAGTCATATGAAAAAGTAAAGAAATCTGTAGGAAAACATTAAAAGGCATGGCAAGTAAAAACACAGAAATTGTATCTCATAAATTGTCTGGATCTAAACTTTCCTCAAGAGTCCAACTCAGGTCTCAAATGGAGTTTCTAATCCTGCTACTTCCAAAGCTTTGCGCTCTTTTCTAAGAACAAAGCACAGGCTGTATTCTACAGATTTGCAATATATAAATAATAATTATGATTTGGTTTGATTGGCAAACTTTATGGATTACATAAAGTAATTTCTTGTTCTGCCAAGGACTGCTTGCCAAAATAAAAAAAATAACCCAACTCAACTAGATTTAGATGTCTGAATAATAGAATAGAGGGCAGCTAATGACTACTCTATAGGGAGCCATTAAAGATTGAAAAGGGATAGTATACTTTACAATAATGAAAATGCCTGGATAAAGTTGATAGGTTTTTCTATTTAGCTTTGAGAGGAGAGTACCTCTAGAAGACAGAAAATTGTTTATTAGCTTGGATTGTTAACTGTTCTTTAGAAACTGCTGAATAAGGCATATACAGTTATTTTCTGTGGCTGGTAGCACTATGTATCTAGTGCTACACAGCCACAGAAACTCTTCAGAACTCTAAAATATGTGAACCAAGCATAATTCTCAACATTTTAAAGCATCTGCATCTTTTGCCTCAACTGCATGGTTGCTGTCTATAGCTGTTGCATTGCCCTAGAAAAAGATTTTAAAGATTTTAAAGATTTTAAAGAGTTTTAAAGAGTTGCCAATAAATACTAGGTCCTTTCCCTGGCACATCTTTATATAACTATTGAATAACTTCAGGTTTTACTATTTACACAAGCCAACCCTATGCATGTTTACCAGAAATAAATCTGTTGTATTCAATAAAATTAATTCCTGGGTAAACTTGCAGAGAATTCTTCAGTCTGTGTTCTACTACATAGCTATATTCAGAGAACAACTGCTATTGTCCTTATTGGATAGAAGCTATGGAAATTTCAATCCATAACAACTGGATGTAATGTAACAATGCACTAATTAACACGTCCAAAGTTATTTGGAAGCTCAAATTATTTTGTAAACCATGCAGTTCACCTTTGTGTGATATTAAAACAGTTTAAACAGATTTACATTGGAGAAGCTTTCCTTTCTCAATGTCCTCACAAACCTGTTGAGAAGACAACTTTCTTGGTGATAAGTTTGTAATCCACTATAGAGAACTGTGGCAGTTCAATCTTTGTCACTCCTGTAACTGCATTATCACCCCCGCGCCAGTAAAATTCAATATCATCAGTTGTGTAGCCATCTGTAAAAAAAAAAATATAGAAGCAAAGATTTAGTATATAGTTCTCTCACACCACTATAACTATAATATATTTTATTTGGAACCTTGTAAACATTTACAAAACAAAAGTTCTCTAATGCATATAACCCACATATATTTCAGTCATGCTTAATTTAAGTATCAGGCAACTGTAAGGTAGAATCCACTTAGAGATATAAATCAGAAGAAAGCTGGTAGAAACAAGGAAGTGTGCATCCTCTGTTGTGACAGGAAAGATCCATAACTTCTTGCCTTGGGATATCTGTCTACTCCAGAGGTAAAATCCAGCAGGTTCTGACAGGTTCTAGAGAACCGAAAGTGGAAATTTTGAGTAGTTCAGAGAACCAGTAGCGGAAAATTTGAGCAGTTTGAAGAAATGGCAAATACCACCTCTGGCTGGCTCCAGAGTGGGTTGGGAATGCAGATTTTGCAATACCCTTCCCCAGGAATGGAGAGGGAATGGGAATTTTGCAGTATCCTTCCCCTGCCATGCCCACAAAGCCATGCCCACAAAGCCATACCATGCCCACAAAGCCACGCCCACAGAACAGGTAGTAAAAAAAAATTAGATTTCACCACTGGTCTACTCTCATGACTGGTTGTATTTTTCTTGAGGTAGGAGGGCCAGGCATCCTATTTTGCAAAGCACAGTTCTACATTTGGAAGGCTGCCAAAGGAGCTCCCTGTATGAAATCCTCCTCTATCTCAAGGATTTCTTAGTTCAAGTCAGTATAAATTAAAGATAAAAACCATAAGGAGGAAAAATACCAGCTGAGGTCTTGAATGCTTGCCTATTAATAGGCAGAATTATTACTGAGCCCTGGTGTACAGTGGTTAGAATGCAATATTGCAGGCTACTCTGCCCACAGCCTGGAGTTTGATCCTGATGGGCTCAGAATTGACTCAGCCTTCCATTCTTCCGAGATTGGTAAAATGAGGACCCAGATTTTGGGCAATATGTGACTATGTAAACCATGCAAAGAGCACTATGAGGCTGTATATATTGTAAGTCTAAGTGCTATTTCCATTGCTATGCCCAGTTACTGATAAATCAGCAGTGGGGAACAATTTAACATTACCAGAAAAGGAAGTTAGAATTATAACTTCCTTTTCTGGTAATGTTAAATTGTCCCCCACTCAACATTAAAGCACATTCATATTTTGCGTTATTCTTTTCACTGGGAATGCAGTTTTTCTACATCATCTTTTTTTTTGCAGCTTTTATTGTCTTTTCAGTTGTTTGATCGTTCATTCATTAGGAGCACAGAGCTGGGAATGTGAATAGAAAAATGGGTTAAAATTCTGAACTAAATAAATACATAGATTCAAATATCAATTTACCATCTGTAATGATTATATAGAAAGTGGGTCAATCTGCCTGGGAAAGAAAAGCTAATGTGATGAGGGGCAGTCTGGGAATGCTAAATGGATGGGTTGAAAGTAACCACAACTATCTGCATTTTGCTAAATGAATATTTTGTACTAGGCCATATTCATCGTGGTAACTGTTTTATGAGGGTACCTGTATATGGCTTAATCTTTTTAGTTTTTGCTTTGGCAAATGATCACAGATGGAAAAACTGAGCAGGCCATCTTGCCCCTCATGTTGCCATGGCAACATGAGATAGTGCTTTAAGTCTGCTGGCCACGAATCTTGTCATCCTTTCCCAAACTGATACATTAGGCTGCATTTTACAATTCCTAGCCAGAATGGATGTTGGTAATGCTGTTTGGGGGTTGAGAGGAAGGTACCACATTGGCAGGAAGACCATACTTTTAAATTTAGAATTATGATTTCAAACAGAACAAAAGTTCCCCCTCAAAAGAGTTAGGAAGAACCTCACAAAACAACCACGGAAGTTGAGAAATGTTTATGGCAGGTGTGCAGGACTGGAAATGAGATATTTCCTATAGCTTCTCTGTAAATGAGAACTGACATTTACCTCTTGAATTTTTTTTTCTTCCAAAAATGTGCCACGTATCTCATTACTGCTTTAGATATGATCACTACCAGGAATAATATGATACTTCACTCAATTAAACTGAGGTAGCCCTATGCTTTACTGCATTTGATCCTTCTGGTGAGTGAAAGGACTTCAGCTTCTGAAAAGGAGTTTCTCACACAGTTTGGTTGGTACACCGTCAAAAATACAGTGAATAAACTGAGAACACAGCAAGTGACATTCAAGGTTTTGTGAACATCTGATGCATTAGGGCAAGAGAATATCATTCTCTAGTTAGGAAACACACAGGAGAGATATGAGTCATGCATTCAGCAGCTGTCAGCCCCAAAGGAAAGTGTTTAAATTGAAGTATTTATATTGTTACACAAACATATTATTTAATCTCCCATACATTCTAAAAAACAAGCTTAAAAAGTAATAATAAGGATGCTGATTTTTTAGAAATACACGATTCTTCAGATCTGTGTTATGTAGGTAAACAAAGCAACAAAAACAGAGCGTTATGTTCGGCATAAATAGCTGTTTAGCAGGAATTTTATGCTATTTAACTAGCTTTAATTTTCTTATTACTGTTACTGTCTGGATTCTATACTGATGATTCCTTAGTTCAGTCTTTTATATTTTATGTTTGTTTTCATTCTTGATCATGTGTTAGTCTTTGGACATTTTTTTTTTGAAACATAACCTCTGTCCCACTAGGGATTCCTGCTCTCGTGCTTTAGTCACAGCCACCTTGCTGTGCCAAACCAGCCCAATTAGAGTCCATTTTGTCTCTAGTGCTGTCCATTAAATGAGTGAAAATAGAACCACTGTTCTTTGACCATTCTTTTTGCAAGCCATTGAAAGAGGGTCCTTAGTGCTTCTTTGAGCTTGTTTGTTTTCTTGCAGACATTTCATTACCGAAGCTAGGTAATATCATTAGCACTGATGTTACCTAGCTTGGGTAATGAAAAGTCTGCAAGCTCAGAAAGGACCAAAATCCCCTTATTCAACCCTGAACTACAAATGTTTTCCTTTATTGGATGATGCTGAATTTTAGGTGCTGTTTGTCAGCTGAACCACAAGCAGCTGATGCTGGACCCTGATTGCTCTCTGCTTCCAGAAATAAAAAAACCTCAACCTGCCACCACTCTACCTGTTTGCCACCTGGATAAATTCAAACATGGCCCTGCTCTTTACCCCTGTTTCCTCTGTTTCTTCCACTGGCTCAAATTGTTTCCAAAATACCGCTGGCAGGCTGCCACCCTGGCAGTGACCATATCTGAAACAACATCCACAAAATACTTGATCCTTCAAAAACAATGAATACAGCATATATATCCCAGCACCATGACAAAAATAGAAACCAGGAGAGTAGCAACAGCAATAGCACTTAGACTTATATACCACCCCATAGTACTTTACAGCACTCTCTGAGCAGCTTACAATGTCAGCATATTGCCCCCCAACAACCTGGGTCCTCATTTTATCAACCTCTGGAGAATGGAAAGCTGAGTCAACCATGAGCCAATCAGGATCAAACTCCTAGCAGTGGGCAGAGTTAGCCTGTAATACTACATTCTAACCATTGAGTCACCATAGCTCCTGCGAATTCTAGTACTGCTATAGGCATGAAAGCCAACTTTTACAGGATTGTCATTGTCAGAAAAATAGGAGGCGGAAGGAATATTAGCTACATTCACCACCTTACTTACTTATTTATATATATATCAAACTTCTAGAGGGGCTCTACTTATAAAGTAATAAGTGAAGTTTTTAGTCAGGAAATAAAGACAGATGACTCTGTAATTTAATGTGACATTTTAGTAGATTTTGCCATTTCATTTAGAAAGAAATCACTGGCAATTTTCTTTAATATTACAACTTGGCCCCTTTATGTACACTAATTCTCCCTTACTTCTATGCTTATTCTATAATCACATCTTTAAATAAGAATAACAGAAAATTATTTAAAATGATCCTTCCTTCCTCCCTCCCTCCCTCTTATTATCGATAGTAGAACTTCATGCTGATTATATTTCTTTATATTGATTATTTTTAGATCCTAATAATTTAGAAAATGTGGGGGAAATGGCTGGCTGCCCACTATATAAAACTTATAAGTAACATCTTTTGCATTTAATTGATTTCATTACTTCTCAGGGGAAACAAGGTGATTTAAGAAGGGAAAAACCAAGATTCACAGACTAAGAAGTGAATCACATCATTTAGTTACTATTTTCTTTTCTACTGGACCTTTAAGATTTATCAACAGCAAATTCGTAGACTACAACAGTGCAGTTCGTGAACCAACCTTCCTTCCTTCCTTCCTTCCTTCCTTCCTTCCTTCCTTCCTTCCTTCCTTCCTTCCTTCCTTCCTTCCTTCCTTCCCCCCTCCCTCCATTGCCAGTCTTTCTCAGCCCAAGGAAAAACGTAATGGCAGATCACTTCTTCAAATCTTGAAAAAAAAAAAACAAATCTTCAGGGAGTACTTCATGTAGTCACAGAAATCAACAGCAACTTAAAGACACAAACATATAAATTCCTAGGAACAGCCATTATGTTTGAACTAGAAAAAATTGATATATATGAATTACTAATTTAGTTGACAAGCTTACCTTCCAAAGTTCAAATATATATAAAGTTGCACATATAAAGTTGGATTTCATATTTCAAAGGAAAACAAATATGCACAATATTTTTGCAAAGTTAAATAAAGTTAATTGCTCTTGTATCCAGGGGATGTTTATTGCATTCAGGCAGAGTTAAAAAACAAAAGGAAACCAGCCTTCTATTGTAGCTACTTACTAAACAATAAAAAGACTGCAATGTATTGCAGTCCCATGTTTTTCTGATTAGAGCATTCCATATGTTGTTTGCTGCCACTGTAATTGGGCATTATACTGGTAAATTGGGCTGACTAGATTTTTCTATCTTTTTTTGTCCATCTGCACATCTGGCTGTTATACAGCAATTCATTCTTCTGCAAAATACGACATTGTGCAAGGTAAAACATGTGATACAATACCGCCAAAGGAA